AGGAGGAAGCTCGAGCGGGGACGGGGGGGGGGTCGAGCTCAAGCGGGGGGAAGAGGGGTCCAAGAAACCGGGGAGGGGGGGTCCAAGAATCGAGGAGGGAGGGGGGAAAGAAGCTCGAGCGAGGAAACGGGGGGGGAGGTCGAGGGGGGAGGGTCCAAGGAGGAAGCTCAAGCGGGGGGGGGGGGGTCGTCGTCGTCGTCGTCGTCGTCGTCGTCGTCGTCGTCGTCGTCGTCGTCGTCGTCGTCGTCGTCGTCGTCGTCGTCGTCGTCGTCGTCGTCGTCGTCGTCGTCGTCGTCGTCGTCGTCGTCGTCGTCGTCGTCGTTGTCCTCGTCGTCGTCGTCGTCGTCGTCGACGTCGTCGTCGTCGTCATCGTCGTCGTCGGTCGTCGTCGTCATCATCGTCCGTCGTTGACCCGTTCGTCGGTCGTCGTCGTCGTCATCGTCCGTTCCCACACGCATCGGGAGCGCCCCGGATCGGCGGCACTGGCCGGAGGCCATTACAATAACACATCCTCGCGTAATGATATCAACATTAACAACAACGAGATGATCAGCCTACACATGCTACTAATAATGAACTGGCGTCTAGAAGGCAAGGACGAGGACGAGGAGGCTCCTGATCTCTGCCTCCATGGATGCTGCCGTGGCCACCCTGCGCTGACGTGGTGCTCCTGCTGGTCTCGCGCAGGTCCTTCAGCTTCCTCCTGTGTTTCACCGCGCGATGCCTTACGTGTGCCGGTGGGGGCCTCCGCCCCTCCGTTCCCGTCCTCAACCGCTTCCTCCATTCCTGCTCCTCCTCCTCCTCCTCCTGCTCCTCCTCATCCTCCTCCTGCCCCTCCTTCCCCCTCCCCCCTGCTTCTCCTCCTCCTCCTCCTCCTCCTCCTCCTCCTCCTCCTCCTCCTTCCCTCCCCCTGCTTCCCTCCTCCCTTTCCTCCTCCCTCCCTCACCCTCCCTTCCCTCCTCCTCCTCCTCCTCCTCCTCCTCCTCCTCCTCCTCCTCCTCCTCCTCCTTGGGGGCCGGGGCGCGACTACGCTCTGGCGCCGCTGGGGAGTCGCGGCGGCGGGCGGGCGTTCGCCCCTGGACCCAGTCGGCGCCCGCCGTCGTCCCGGGGGGGGGGGGGGGCGGGTGACGGGAGCACGAGCTCGCGCGGCCGCCAGGCCACGTAGACACAGCCGGCAGGGCCAGCCGTTTGTTCTGACGCACCGTCGCCGCGCCGTGTGTTCTGAACGCGTCCACGCAGACGAAGCTGGCAGGGCGCCTGCGCGCGACCCTACGCGGGCAGCTCGCGCGCCGATGTCGGCGCAAATGGCCACGTGTTTTTGCGTCGCTCGTCTGACGTTTCGGATCGCGTGCAGAGCTGGCCAGGTCGCGGGCCGAATCATCGGGCAGCGTGCCTCGGCAGGGGGGCGCGGCGAGTGGCGGCAGGCCGCCGTCCGACGTGACGCGATCCAGGGTCGGTGGCCGCAGGAGGGGGTGCCCAAACTTGGTGGGGCCCCAGGGGCGCCACCCGACGAGCAGGGCACCTTGGGGGGTTGGTACGGCTGGCCTTCCCTGGGGACAGCGTGCCTGCCTTGGGCTGCTGGGGGCGCCCGCCACGGCGTCTTTCCCGGGAAAGCTCTCCATCCAAGCGGATTGGAACCGTCGGGGCTCGCTCCCTGCGGCTGACGCTGGCGGCCGCGTCGGTGCGGTGTGGTCGAGGCTGTGGGCCGCCGTGGACGGCAGTCCAGGGCGGTCGAGAAGCTAGGCCGCAGCAGTGTGCAAGGGGGGCGAGGGATAGGGGAGCGACCAACACCTGCTCGCGGGCGCTGTGGTCGTCGTCGTGATCGCCCGCCCGCCCGCCCTTTACAGCGTGCCCCCGCCTGTCTGTGCAGGTGTGCCCGTCCCCGCCCGCCGTGCGTGACAGCCCGCTTGCCCCTGATGATGGGCAAATCTTCCACCACCACCACTACCACATGTAGGGCGGGGGAGAAGGGAGGATGAGGAGGTGCTCCTCCCCCCCCTCCCCCTCTCCTCCTCCTCCCTCCTCTCTCCTCCTCCTCTCCTCCTCCTCCTGCTCCTCCTCCTCCTCCTCCTCCTCCTTCTCCTCCTCCTCGTACTCCTCCTCCTCCTCCTCGTCCTCCTCCTCCTCCTCCTCCTCCTCCCTCGCCCACCTTTGGTAGCAGTGGTGGAAAATGGGCCCATTACCCGAGGGTGTTCCGCGCCCCGCATCCGCCCTCCTTTACGGGGCGCCCGCCCGCCCGTCTTGGAGCGCTCCCCGTCCCTCCCCGCCCTCTCCAGACGACGAGCAATTCGGCCGTCGGGGTCCGTCCGCCCGTCGGGGCCCGCCCGGCCGCCCGGGGAGGCCCGCGCACCGTCGGGCAGGGCGGGGCCGTGCGGCGGCCGGGCGGCAGCAGGGGACCTGTGCGGCACAGTGCTCGCCAGCGTGGGCCCCGCACGGTCTGCTGCTAGCGGCCTGCGTTGTGCATTTGTTGTGGTGCGATCTCGGTGGTGCAGCCTCTGTGTACATTCTACGCGGTGCAACCTGCTTGGTGCGATCTATGTGGTCCGCTTTTGCTGTGCAGTATATGTTGCGCGATCTACGCCGTGCACTATAGGTGGTGCCTTATGTGCGGTGCAACATATGTGGTGTAAGCCACCTGCCACCAACGAGTTGTCAGCTCTACGAAGTCGCCAATCTCCCACGTTCGTACAAATATCCATCACACTCACCCGCAACTTGGTTTTCAGACCCCATGCGGCGGCGAGTGCGATGTATGTTTGGCGCTGGCTGGCGCGTCTTTGCGGCTGCGCTGGCGCGCGTGTGCTCGCGCGCAGAGCGGCCTAGTCTGGCGCGACAGACGCGGCCGCGTGGCGCTGACCGCTGGGGACTGCCCATCGCGTCTCGCAGGCCGCGCTGGCGCGCTGGCACTTGAATGCGAGTCGGTGACTCGGCGACGCGGTATCATTACGACGCCGGCAACGGCAGACACGATGATGATAGTAACGATGCTGGTGACCATGGTGACGATGGCGATGACAAGGCCAACAACGGGGGCGATGCTAATCATGCCGATGACAGTGATGTTGCTCAAGTGTCGTTAATGAAGGTTTTGGAAGGATTTCGACATGCGCGCGCGCCTGAAGGGCGCGAGTGGCCCGCATGGTATTGAAAATGAGGATCGAATGGCCCCCTAGCAGGCGCGCAAAGATGTTCTAATGGTTTCGGATTCCGCGCCCGAAGTGAACACGTTGAAGACCAATGGATTTCTTAAGAATGTGCAAGAGCGCGCATACTTTGTTGGCACATTGTGCTGCAGACCAGTTGTTCTTGCATGTGTTGCTGGGGACCTCGATCTTGCAAGTCTTGCGCAACCCATGTTTTTTTGGGGGCTACATTTCGGCGTGCGCGCGAGCGACGGCGCGCGCGTGTCGGCGTGGCAACGTTGTCCCCGTCTGTTGCACGGGGGATTCTTGGGAGCTGGTGATCTCGGATAAACGAATGTCCGCACATAATACGTTTTGGCAACGACGAGGAGGGGGGGGGGGCGATACGGGTTTGGCTGGTAGGACTTCATCTTTCTATTGAACCATGGGGCAGGCTCTTGTGTAAATTGCGATCTCCTAAGGGGGAGGGTAGTCCCGATCATCCTGGACTGGGGGGGGGGGGCAGAACCTATATCCCGTTAGTAAGAAGGCTATGTGCTGTGCAATCTATGTGGATCAGCCTGTGTAGTGCAATCTTTGTGGTGCAACCTACGCTGTGCAATATGTATGGGGAAATTTATGCTGTGCTATATATGCTGTGCAATCTGTGTGGTGCAATCGGTGTGGCGAACATCTGTGCGTACAATATATGTGGTGCTATGTATGTGGTACGATCCATGCTGTGCGATCAATGTTGTGCACTGTGTGTTGTGCGATCTGTGCTGTGCAATAGATGTGGTGTAACGCATGTGGTGCAATATATGTGATGCAAACTCTATGGAGCAATCTTTGTGGTGCAATGTACGTGATGCACGCCATGCGGTGCAATACTTGTGGTGCAAACTGCGTGGTGCGTCCAATGCTGTGCAATCCATGCTGTGCCATATCGGTGGTGTACTACGTGTGGTGTAACGCATGTGGTGCAAGGTGTGTGGTGCAATCTGTGTGGTGCACTATAGGTTGTGCAATCTAGGTGGATCAACCTGAGTGCTGCAATCTATTGTGATATATATATATATATATGTATGTATGTATAGGTGTGTGCGGTGTAATCTACGTTACGCAAAACACTGCAACGCAATGCGATTGCAGTGTTATGCTAAATAATGTAAGGCGATGCGAAGCAATGCACGACAATGCAATTCAACATACAACACAAATGAAAACACGGCATAGCACGGAACATTTCTGCAGAGCAATGCAATGGCAATGAAATGCAACACAGGACGTAGCAATGCAAAGCAATGCGAACCAATGCAGGCCCAGACGGGGCTGCGACGGCGACAACTTAGCCGCTAGAGCGGCACACAGGCCCAGACGACTGGCGGCGACGAGGCGGCGACGGGGCTGCGACGGCGACAACATCGCCGCCAGACCGACACACCAGCCCAGACGACGGGCGGCGACGAGGCGGCGACGGCGACGAGGCGGCGACGGCGACAACATCGCCGCAAGACCGACCCGCAGACCCAAATGACGGGCGGCGACGAAGCGGCGACGGCGCGGCGACGGCGACAAGATAGCCTCCAGACTGAACTTCAGGCCCAGCCCCCTTTAAAAAAGCAAGTACGAAACCCTCAGTGCAAGCACTGCTTCAAAATAACAACTACACATTACATATATACAGTGTACTTGCTAATGCGTATACAATTAGACATCGAGCTTTTGAGACACACGCACATATCCGCCACCGTTCCTTTGAGGCACGAGTTGGAGTGTCCTCAGGTCCCTTGCTCGATCCTTTGGAGCCCCAGTTCTCAATCCTGAGGGCTCTTGAAGGGGCCTGGGCCCGACATTACCAAACCTCCTGCGCCCTGCCGCGTCCTGTCGCGTGACCTTTTCGGTCCCCAGAGGGCCTCAAGATGGGCCAAGAGGGCCTCGCGAGCAAGGCCGTCTAGGCGGGCTCCGGATCGCCGATCCATCGCTCCCAAACGCCCAAGATGACTTCGAGTCGGCCGACAAAGGGCCCAGGAGGCCCCCAGGAGGCCTCGAGAGCCTTCCAAAGAGGGCCCCGAGAGTCCAACAGCAGTGAGCTTCCTTTCGGTTCTTCCATGTTTTTCGCGGTCTTCGGCGCTCCGAGGCGTCCCAATCGAACCCCAAGACCGCCCCAAGACGACCCCAGAGGCCCCCAAGAGGGCCCCAAGAAGGCTCCAAGGCGGTCCGCGCGGCGCCCAAGACGGACCAAGAGGGACCCACGGCGGCCCCAAGAGTGAACCAAGAGGGGGAACACGAACCAATCCGAGCCGTCCGCCCCAAGAGTCGGGTCGGGCGAAAGGGGGGGATAGCAAAGGGGGGGGGTGAGAATCAGCTCACGTAGCTGATTTTCCCGGCGCCTCCCGGCGCCAGAGGCCGCTATGTATCGAGGATTGGGCCCCTCGGTGGGGCCGAAACCAGCTGCATGCAGCAAATTTCGTAACCCCCCCTTTCCCAATCCCCCCCTTTCGTCCGGCCCGAAAGAGGCACCCAGGAGGCGCCAAGAGGCCCCCGAGAGGGTCCTTAGAGGCCCCTCGGCAAGGCCCCACGAGGCCCCCCCAGGGGTCTTCCACGACATCCCGGCGACCATCCCAGGAGCCCGATGGCCCACAACCTGGGGCACAGTGGCGGGCAGGGCCGACAGAGAGAGGAAGGAGAGAGGGAGAGAGAGAGAGAGAGAGAGAGAGACATATATATATATATAGAGAGAGAGGGCGAGAGAGAGAGAGACAGAGAGAAACAGAAAGAGAAACATCAAAAGAGAGAGAGAGAGAGAGGGAACCAGAGAAAGAGACTGACACACAAACAAACATGTGGCATGGCCAGATGGGGGTAGCATAGAGGACACATCAGGCGAAATGAGTGATCGGGTATGGGAGCGAATGGGGAAGTGTGAGAAGATAAAAAGAGAGCGGCTAAGAAACGGTTAGGTGGGAGGGCAGAGGGTCGGATAGGAAAAGATGAAATAAATGATCGGCGAAGGTATGAACCACCAATGGTGCAACTGAATAATGTCGGCGGGTTTGCTATGACATGGGATGGGATAAGGAATAATGAGGAGAGACGATAGCAAGGACAACATGGAACGGGATAGAGGAGAGAACATATACCAGCGACTTTAAAACTGACGGTGCCGGGTAGCAAAACGAGTGCTTCGAACCTGGTTCGAACCTGCTTTCCGAGAAAGTCCCGCACGACACGCTCACTTTTCTATTGTGTCGAAACGACTTCTACTTTTCGGAACCGAGTTTCGATCCTGATTCGAACCGAGCTTCAATCCTGTTTCGATCCTGGGCCAAGAAGTGGCCGTGCGTCAGCGCGGCCTGCGAGGCACGCAGGCAACAGCCCAGCGGCCAGCTCCAACGCGACCGCGTCGGTCGCGCCATACTGGCTGGCCGCTGTGCGCGCGCGCGTGCCAAAATTCAACAACAAAAGCGCAAATGTCGTAAAAATATCAATATCGAGGCCCCCAGAAACATATGGAGAACAACGAAGGGGTCTGCACCATGCGTTGTCAAAAAATGCGCACGCCGCTGCAAACTCTTAAAGGAACCGTTGGTTTTTCGACATGCTCATCACATGCAACCACACGAATTTCTTGTGTGCAAATCTAGAAATCATTCGAACGCCCTTGCACGCGTGCTGGGGAGCGCGGTCCTTGTCAAATCCCATCAGCCCTCTGGGCGCAGGTGGTCTAACGATGACATTCTTTCCTCTTCCAAAAACCCTTCTTGCCCTTCGGGGAGGGGTTTGTCCCTCCCCTCCCTTGGACCTGGTCGGGAGGGGCCGCGAGGCGTTGGAGCGTCCAACATTGGCCCCTGGGAGGGCCACTTTTTACACATCTCACGAGGATCGTGGCCCCCGAGGGGGGGGGGGGCGTCGATTGGGTGAATCCCTCCTTTGACCGATAGCCTCGAAGATGGCCCCAAGAGGCGTTCCAGGGCTCCCAAGAGAGCCCCAAGAGGGCTCCAAGAGGGTCCCAAAAGAGCCCCGAAAGGCACCCGAGAGGCCCCAAGAGGCCCCCAAGCGGTCTTAGCGAGGCCAAGATGACCTCCAAGATGGCTCAGATAGCCCAACCTGGCTCAAGATGGCTCTCCAAATGCTCCAAACGGCCCCCAAACCGCTCCAACAGCGCCTAGGAGCGCCCCCAAAGCGGTTTGCCGGCTCCTGAGGGGGGAGCTGAGTTGGGGACCCCCCATCCTGTAATCGATGGCCTCCAAGACGATCCCAAGAAGCCTTCCAGGGGTACCAAGAGGATTCCAAAAACGCCCCCCAAACCCCCAGAGACCAGCAGCAGCAGCACCCGCAATAATACCTCTAGATGGTTCCATGAGTCCTCGTCCGCGTCGTCCTCATCCTAGTCCTCGTCCACCTCGTCCTCGTCCTCATCCGCGTCCTCGTCCTCCTCGTCCTCCTAGTCCTCCTCGTCCTCATCCTCCTCCTCCTCTTCCCCTCGCCCCCACGCGGCACCCAGGGATGGCCCGAAGAGGCCTTCCAAGGCCACCCCATTGCTCGCTTTGTTTCCCTCGGTGTGCCTCTTCGTCCCTTTTCCCGTCAGCTCTGGAGGGCAAGGTTTCTGAATGGGCTGGTGGGGATACGCGAAGCATGAAGAATATATCATGCGGGCCAGTCGCTCGCGTCGGCCGCGCGCACATGTTGAACATTTAGCAAAACTTGCATCGCCGACGCGAGGACACCGTCATCGTCATCGGCGTGATCAGTATCGGCACCGTCATTGTCCTCGCCGTTGTCATCGTCATTATCGTCACCATCGTCGCTACTATCATCATCGTGTCTGCCGTCGTCGGCGTCGCCATGATACCGCGCCCTTTCCAAGTAACCGGCTCGCACTGAAGTGCCCGCTGGGAGGTGCCCAACGGTGAACGCCACCGCGGCCGCGTCGGTCGCGCCAAACTAGCTGGCCGCTGTGCGCGCGAGCATGCGCGGGATAGCGCGGCCGCAAAAATGCACTAGCTTACACTAAGCACTCATCGCAATCGCCGCCGCATGGGTCTTTCAAACAAAGTTGCGGCTGGGGCGGAATGCTTGTGCGAACACTGGAACTAACAATTTAGACTGCACAACGTAGCTTGCCCGACATAGTTTGAGCCGCGCAGGTTGCACCACATGGATGGCACGACATATTGTGCACACTATGGGGTGCACAACAGAAATTGCACCACGTAGGGTGCACCACATAGACTGCAACACGTAGACTGCACAACATATATTGCACAGCACATATTGCTAGAAACACACGGTTTGGGGTCAACGCTGGCTACTATACTTATATATATATATACATACACATATATATATATTCCTAACAACTCTTTCTGTTCCCTATACTTTGGTCCATTCATGTGCACCCTGCACACCTGTATTAATTGAATTATGTGTGGTTGTTGGTTTCTCTATATGCGTCTCCCTCTCCCCATCTGTAAACATCTTTACATATACACATGCGGATTCCCATCAAGTCTCTCTGTCCCTGTACTTTGGTACATTCATGTGCACTATGCACATCAATATCAATCGAGTTATGTAGGGTTTGGGGTAACTCTACGTTTTTTGGTGTCCTCTCTCTCTCTCGATAGTATATATGTATATACTCAAATACATCATCCTACTTCTCTTTTTTCCCATGTGTACTCTGAAATATCCACGGCCTCTTCTCTCAATCTGACCATGGACACAAAGACCCAGTCACTCCGCCGCCGCCAAGAACTCAAAGACCTGGGAACCTTATAATGCCAAGAACCCTAGACCAAGAACAGGGAACCTGGGGATACAGCCGCCCCACGAAAACGGCCCAGGCACCAAATCCCAAGAACTCCGAACCAGGAACTCGGGAAACCGGCCGCCCACCGAAATCGACCCGAAACCTTTTTCTACTCCATAATTTTACGCTCGGACTCCCTCAAGGGGAATTGTCATCTCCTGGCTGCGCAATGAAGGTGGAAAAATATTGCCAATTGAAACGCAACCGTCAACGCTTCTCCTTGGAGACGCCGCCCTACAATGGCAGAGTGTGTGCGCGCCCAGCCGTGCCGAGTGCCATTGGGGTCGCGAGCGAAAAGTATGTGGAGGCAACAAAACAGTCTTGATGCTCGACACTGCGCCCTGTTAGACGGACACCTGGCCAGCCACGAAGTATTGCATAATGGACGAGCGCCTCACTACACGGTCGGTGCCCCTGTCCTGCTGCGCCTGAGCACCGTTCTCGCTGCTTCGCTTGGGGCCACCGGACATTTGCATGATCTGCGTCTGATCAAGTGAGAGCTCAAGCAACACATCATGGAACCTTTGCCGGTCTATGCGCAGTACCTCCGAGCACTCGAGCGCCACCACGGTATTCTTGCTCAACGCCGTGTCCCCCAGATCGCACAGGCAGTGGTCGTCCAGGATCGTCAGGTGGGTCCTCCTTCGAGAGGACAGCTGCAGGTGCCTGAGGACCGACGCCAGGCTCCCGAGGCTGCCGTCGCTGAGGCCGCTTCGGCCGCGGTCCAGCTGGGGGTGGTCCTGCGGGTTGTAGACGTGTATGCCACCCCTCATGAGCACGAACGCGGCCTCCGCGTCGTTGTACCTCTCAGTGATTTTATCACCAGGCAGGTAGTCTACGGTCTCGGTTGCGTCACACACGCGCCGCAGCACTGGAACGCTCCACTCCTGGAGCCGTGGGACCAGCCTGAGGTATCGGATCCTGTGGGCCTGGCTCAGCTGCTTCTTCAGTTTTTCGGGCAGGGTATTCATCAGGCTAAGCTCCTTGGCGTGGATCTTCCTCTTCTCAAATAAGTAATTCAAATATGCTTGTGAGCGCTTCTGCAACGTGCTCCCGCAGTCGATGGCTCGTAGGTTCATGCGGACATACGCCATCTCCTCCTTGAACGCGTCTCTGCGGGCGCTGAATTTGAACCAAGCCTGTGTAATGCGGGCGACATTGATAGCGAAAGCCATTACGGCGAAGAACATGAAGAGAAGGACGAACATCCTCTCTGACAAATTGACTGGCGTGACTTCAGCCGGCATGGTGCGCATCACTCCCAAGATCCAGTAGAAACAGAACACGTACTGCTCCGACGCGGGCCTCTCTACCCACTTCCACTGCATATCGTCGCGCGAGCTGTGCACGCGCGGCAACTCCGTCCAGTGGAGGGCCTCTGGATCGTCGTCCTGGAACGTGAGGAGCATCACCAAACTGTTCCTCGTGCCTACCATCCACCAAGCGCACGCGCCCCAGTGGCAAATCACGGTCCAGATGGCAAGGGCCTTGACCAACACAACCATGTTCAAGGCAGTGATGGACCCGATCTGGCCTTCGAGGCGCTCCCAGATGACAGACAGCTTGACGAGCCGTAGCATCCTCACCAACCTCAGAAGTCGCGTCAGCTTGACAATCTTAGCGAGCTTCGTCACTTGGCCCGCCGAAGACGTGTCCGACTTACCATCCGACCACATGGCATCAACGCAGACAGACCATGGCACAGTGCTTAAAAAATCAATCCAGAACCATCCGCGAAGGTAGTGAGATGCGATGCTGGCTTTGTTTGTGATAATCGTTCCCTCTTGTCGGAGCTTGTCATTCTTTCCTGCGGGGTACCCGGTGAAGAAATTCGCCACCAAATCGCAAACGAAGATGCATACCAATAGCCACAGCCAGACATCATCGAACCCCAGCTCTGTGCTGAATTCGGCCAGCTGGAAGGGTATCACCACGCTGTCGCACAGGACCAGCACGATGATCACCAGGTCCCACGCGAGACGCGGGGGCGAATCTGGGTGTATCACGCCGTCGATGCAACACGAGGACTCCCCCCGGTTCCTCGCATCGTTGAAGCTCGTGTCCAGGTCACCCAAAGGGAAATCGTTATCCACCCCCACGACAGCATCTGACCCCTGCGACTGGCTCCGCGACCGCGAGCCCGCCGAGCCGTAGACAGCGAGTTGCTCGGCATCCTCCCTGGACAGCATGCTGTGCGAGAAGCCCTTGGACTGCATCGCGCTGCTCCTGCGGCTGCCGTGGCTGGGACGCCTCGGCTCTGGGTCAGCCGACGTGGTCGTTCCTGCAGCCATCGTGGTCGAACCCGTGGGTGCTGCGTCTGGAGGTGCGACGTCCGGCACCGCCTCGGCAACGGCCACTTTCGGAGGCTCCCCGTCGTCCGCGGGCTTGGCGGCCACAGCGATCAGGTCGGACCGAAAGTCGCCGATCGCCACGCTGAACTTCGTGACCGCCTCTAAACAAGCGCGTTCCACGGCTCGCAAAGCAACTCTACTCGCAAATGGCCTGGATCCGTGGTGGGGGGTTCACGACACATTACGTCGAAGCCAACATTTGTGCTTTTCGGTCGCTTGTGAGTTGGACCTTTGCGAGTCATGGAGCGCGCTCGGTGAGCCTCGTTGGCCAGGCCCTTGAAGTCGACGAGCGGGGAGGCCGGGTGCAGGTCGAGGGCGCTGCGCACCAAGCTGGCCTGCAGGTCCAAGGCCGCGGTGAGGGCCCGGAGGTGGGCCTCGAAGGCCTGCGCTCCTTCGGGCTCCCTCGCCGCCATCGTCCGCGCGCGCGGGGAGGAGGAGGAGGAGGAGGAGGAGGAGGAGGAGAAGGAGGAGGAGGAGGAGGAGGAGGAGGAGGAGGAGGAGGAGGAGGAGGAGGAGGAGGAGGGGAGGAGGAGGAGGAGGAGAGGGAGGGAGGAGGAGGAGGAGGAGGGGAGGAGGAGAGGGGAGGACGAGGGAGGAGGAGGGAGCAGGAGGAGGAGGGAGGAGGAGCAGGAGGAGGAGAAGGAGGAGGAGGAGGAGGAGGAGGAGGAGGGAGCTCGTGACACCGGCCCCGCAGGGCGCCAGCAGCCCTTGGGCGGCGGCGGCCCCCCGGGTGGCGGCCTCCGCCGCGGCCCTGCTCGAGCCAGCGCGGCCGTGGATCGGCGGCTTGCTGGTCGTCGGCCATCGTCTGTTGAGGACTTCCTGTGGTCAGCTACCCCTCCCCCTCCCACCCCTCCCTCTCCTCCTCCTCCGTCTCCCCCCACTCCTCCTCCATCCCTTTTCATTATAAAAACCTTCTCCCTGTCACATCCCGAGGCCAGTCTTTAGAGCGGGCGGGGCGTTTCGCCTGAGACTTCCTCACCATTTATGACTCTGAAGCATAAACAGTGGCAACAGTTTCGAAGGTGGAGTGCGGGTGGTTTTCGGAATGTGGCTCTCGCCTTCGCGCGGCGCACATTCGTTTTAAACATTTGCAAGAGTTTCACGGATTGAGGGCGGTTCCTTTTCAAAATGTGGGTCCCGCCTTAGCGCCGCACATTCATTTACAACATTTGCAAAATCTTTCACGGATTCCGATCGTCAACGTGCCAGAGATGGTGTTTTGAAAGGATTCAGGATTATGCGGGTGCAGCAGTTATGTTGCTTCCCGAGAATAAAATGTTGGCATGATTCAGGGTCTTCAAACGGTTATCTTCCAAAGAGGCAATTCCCTCAAGGGCTCAAGGGGAATGAACCGTTGTAGGGGCCTATGAAGAAGGAGCTTGGAGGGAAGGTTTATTTCAACATCGTTAATGACTCTTGGTTTTACACTTGTCCTCCTCCTCCTCCTCCGATGCCGTGCGAGGTGCTGTCGGCTGCCTAACGCCTGTTGGCTACCGCCTGCTCAAGTTCGCTGGCCACCTGTTCATCGAAAATTGAGGCTGTGAACACTTATGCGAAGCCGCCCCCAGCCGTGAACTCATAGCTTCGTGCTTCGTGTAGAACGTAACATGCGCGAGAAACTGTGCGCGCGAGTGGTGGCCCTGAGGGCTGGAGAGGCCAGCGAGTATTTGTCCCGCTGCTCTTCAAGCTCCTGTCGGCCCAGATGGCCTGAAGACGGTTCAGCCGAGCCTCTTAGTGAAAAGTCGGCGGGACGATCGTGCCCAAGACGGCCGGGGGACCCGCAAAACGCACCCAACACAATCACAAAAGGGCCCCAAAGTCCCAACAACAACCCCGAGAGAAGCGACGCAACAACCATGCGATGGTAAGACCGCGCCTCTTAGGTTCCCAGAGACAGCCGACCCATTTCCTCAAACAGAGCTTGCGCTTAGGCGATTTTGCTTCGTCTACGAAGAATTGGGCCTTGGTGTCGGTCCAACTGGATTGTTTTCGCCGTCGCCGCCAGTCGCCGCCGTCCGTGTCCTCGCCCGTCGCCGCTGCCCCGTTGCCCCCTTTGTTTTGCAATCGATTGCAAACGATTGCACTTGCATCGCATATGTTTTTCTTGAATAGAAAATCGATTCTACAACCGTCCCGCAGCTGGAGTTATCAGACCCTTTTGGGGTGTGCAGTGTACGTACGATTCTGTCCCATGGTTTACCTTAAATGCGAGCTCGTACCGTCGCAACCAAGCATGTACAAACCCCCTCCCATCAGTTACACATGATACAATTCGCGCGCGGTCGTTTGTAACACATATCCCGATTTCACAACATCCTTCGCACAAGAAACGTCACGAACACACACGCGGACGTCGTCGCGCGCATACGCCTGAATTTTGCAAGAACCCCTAATTTCGCGATGATTTCAAAACTGAGCGTCCACAGCTCATTTTTCCGTCACGAAGCAATGCTTCTGCGCGCGTGCTTTTGCGAATTCTGAAGAAACCAGGCGTTTCACAGACATTGCCTCACATGCGACCAAACGAACCTCTCGCGCGCGCGTGTCGAAATCATTTCAACGCCCTTGCGCGCTCGCTTGGGGGTGGCAGGATTTTTGTGAAACTCAGCCATGCGGGCCATTCGCGAGCGTCGGCCGCGCGCGCGCATGTCGATATTCTTCCCACAGCCTTCATCACCGAAGCGAAGACACCATCCTCATCGGCTTGATCAGCATTGGCGCTGTCATTGGCTTTGCCGTCTTCATCGTTATCATCGCGGCCAGCATCGCTACTATCATCATCGTGTCTGCCGTTGCAAGTTGTTGACGTTGCCATGCTACCGCGCCCATCCAAAACACCAACTCGCACTGAAGTGTCCGTGCGTCAGCGCGGCCTGCAGGACACGCTAGGAAGTGCCCAGCGGTCAGCGCCACCGCGGCCGCGTCGGTCGCGCCAAAGGAGGTGGCCGTGTGCGCGCGAGCTTGCGCGCGTCAGCGCGGCCGCAGCGATGTTATCAGGGTTCACCCCCCCTTAGAATTGACGGCTCACCTTTGCGTAATGCAGTTTGCGTATGGCTCTGCCCCGTCGTCCATCCGACATACGAATTCGTACCACCCCAAGCAGGCCGGTATCCGCGCCCCCCCCCCCGCATCGTCTACATAAAATACTATGCGCGCACCCACCCGTTTATCACAAATCCTACATTTCCAAGAACCCATTGTAAAAGTTAGTAAATGCACACGCGCGCGTCGTCGCGCGCGCATGCCGGACATCTTCAAAAACTATAGGTTTCACGGGGGTTTCAAAATCGAGTCCCAAAAACATGTTTTTAACATGAGAACATGTTTTCGCAAGAAGAGCTATCAAACAACATCTTGCGCGCGAGCTCTTGCAAACTGTTAAGAAAAGCGCCGCTTTGGTTCGCAATAGTTTCAGAACGTGCTACTAAGCGGGCCTTCGCGCCGAAAAAAAGCTAGAACGCCCTTGCGCACGTACTGTCGCAAAAACCCCGTGCAAGAAACGGGACGAAGTGCACGCGCGCGCGTCGTCGCGCGCGCATGCCAAAATCCTTCAAACACCTTTGGCGTCATAAGGATTTCAGAATCGAGTGTTCCGAAAACATGTCAAACACATGGCTGTCCAACGTCAAAAATTTATGTATTTCTTCAATATTACATATGTATATACTTTGAACAAAATGTAGAACTCCATACGTTTCCCAACGTTTTAATTCAATTCTGCCAAGCGGGCCCCTCGCGACGCACGTCGGGATCATTCGAACGCCCTTGCGCGCGTGCTGGGGGGGGGGGGGGGGGCACGACACGTGTCAAATAATACCATGCGGGCCACCCTCGCGCGTCGGCCGCGCGCGCATGTCGAACTCCCTCCAAAACCTCAATCGCCGACGCGAGGGCGCCGTCGTCGTCGTCGGCGTGATCAGCATCGGCGCCGTCATTGGCCTTGCCGTAGTCGTTGTCATCCTCGGCACCCGCATCCCTACCACCATCATCGCGTCTACCGTTGTCGGCGTTGTCATGATACCGCGCCCGCCCAAGCCGCCGATTCGCACTGAGGTGCCCGCTTGGAAGTGCTCGGCGGTCAGCGCCACCGCGGCCGCGTCGGTGGCGCCAAACTTTCTGGCCGCTGCGCGCGCGAGCATGCGCGGTCTAGCGCGGCCGCGGAGATGCACCTGCCAACTCCAAACACTCATCGCAATCATGGCGACATGGGTTTTGCAAATCAATGTGCGGGTAAATGGGTGGGAGGATAATTGCGCGAGCAGTAAAGTGAACAACTCAATGCGGACAGAAAGTGATTACACCACACAGCGTCCACCACATATATTGCACCACGCAGGTAACACTACATAGCGTACACCACAACACCTATGTTGCATCACGTGGATGGCTGAACATGTAGTGTACCACATAAATTACCCCACCTCTATTGCACAACGCAGAGTGCACCAAATATACTGCACGACATGGCGCCTACGATACAGTCTGCACCACGTAGATTGCGCGACGCAGCTCACTTTCACCGATCAGACCACATACATTGCACCACGTAGCTCACACCACATAGCTTACACCACATAGATGACCCCGTTAGATCCACATAGATTATCCTCCACCACCACCACCTCGCCGAAACCATACTTATCTTTTCGGACTCGCGTATTGCAAATTGCAAATGAGGCTGCCTCCCCGTGCTCGTAACGATTCCAACATTTAAGAAGAATATGACCCAATTGCTGGTCAACATAGTTTGTCCAATATTTCATCCCAGGCGCTATTGCGGATTCATAAGATATGTAAACACTCCTGTCCTAGGAGGCCTCTGCGCAGGCATGTCGCGCTTCGTTCGAACGCCCGTAAAGAGACTCGCAGGGACCCCCCCTTCCAGAGGACGTGTTGGAACCTCCAGGATCTGCGCAGCATGTCCTGCAGCACGGGCCTCTTCTGCGCGGCGCTGGCCTGCGTCCGGGGGCTCATCGGGTCTCCAGGCGTTGCCCCATGGAGGTGCTGCCAGCCACGTTGCGGGTGGGTGGCTGGGATGCTTGCACGAAGGATTGCGAAGTTTTTTTTTTGCGTTTTATTTGTTTTTTTTTTTTTGTTTTTTTGCAATCCTTTGTTTTTTTGTTGCAATCTTTTTGTTGTTTGCAATCCTTCGAGGTGTGGGAGGTGGTCACGCGCGGTGTAGTGCAGTGAATTGCCCCACGTAGCTTACACCATACAGACTGCATCTCGCACTGGCAAAGGCGCGGTCCCCCGAGCCCACTTCGGCACACCCCCCTCGTGCGCCGTGGCCCCACCGGGGGGGCTTCACCGAGTGCCCCAGAGGAGGCGGGGCGGGCGGGCGCATGCCGTCCCCGTGCGCATGTCCGCACACCCCATCAGACGTCCCGGCCCCCACAGCGATCCCCCCTCGCGGTCCCCCGAGCCCACTTCGGTGCACCCCTCTCGTGCGTCGTGGCCCCACGGGGGGGCTCCACCGAATGCCCCAAAGGAGGTGGGGCGGGCGGGCGCATGCCGTCCCCATGCGCATGTCCGCACACCCCATCAGACGTCCCAGCCCCCACAGCGATCCCCCCTCCCTCGTCTCCACGGGCCTTGCTGTGCATGTGCTTGCACGTGGCTGGGTTCCTTCCCCAGGCTGTTTTGTCCATTCCCCGTGATCTGAGATCGAATTATTGTTACATGGCTGCTGCCTCCGCCGTGCTCGCTGACTCACCAATCTCCCTCGCACACACTCACACTCAACTTAAACTCATCATGCTAAGGTCCTCCCGTGACCATCTTAATCACACTCAGGATTACCCATTCTCAGTCACTCATTCTTCCGATTGCTCCCGCCCAAGCTCACTCACACATACCTCACTCGCCCGCGCTCGCCGTGATGTGGAAGGCGTGCCACTTGAGCACCCCAAGGAAGAGCCCGTTGGCGCCCTGACTGTAGGGACTTCTCGAGCAAGTCGTTCTTCTGGCGTCCCCGACTTCGACTTCTCTCTTTGGAGACCCGCAGGACCACCGCGATAAAGCAGACATAGCACCTGGGCGCCCGAGTGAGGAACAGCAGCCTGGGGGGGGGAACTGGGGACATTTGGCCGTTCGCAGCCAAATGGCAAGGGGATTTCTATCGCAGTCTTCTCGTCTGGCGTCCTCGACTCTTCTCTCTTGAGAGCCGCAAGAACTCCGCGATATAGCAGGCATGCCTGTAGAGCCGCCAAGGGGGAGTGGGGCACTTACAAATAGGCGCCCAATCAGTGGGAGCGTCTCGAGCGGTTCGCTAATTTGGAGTACCCGGCACCTCTCTTCCGACAGCACCATGATCACCGCGACGCAGCAAGCACAACACTTGAGCACCCCAGATGTGGGGCTGCACTTGTCGCCCGTTCGCGGCCGAATGGTGGGGATGTGTCGAGCGATTCGCTCGTTGGCGTCAGCGGCTTCTTTTGATAGCCTCAGGATCATCGTGATGTAGCAGGCGCAGCTGTTGGGCACCCCAAGCAAGGAAGAACCGCCAGGGCCTGGGGGTACTGCGCTTGCCCGTGCGCGGCCAGATTGTGGGGATATCTCCAGCGAGACGTTGGCTATGGCACCTCCGACTCCTCCCCTGTCAGGGTCCCAGGGTCGTCCCACGGTGATCCCAAGGCCATCCCACTTGGGCACTCCAGTGGGGAGTCGTCCGGCAGCGGCCAGTCGCCTCATGCTGAGAGTCTCGCTCACAGCGGGAAGTGCCAGGAACTGACGTGTGCATATCGGCATCTCCGCGACGAGCGCTCTTTTTTGTTCCGAGCCGTAGTTGGGGGCCCAGGACGGGCCGATGATGCAGAAAATTGCGAAAAACCTCAGGACCACTTTCCCTCATGATGAGGGGGGTTAGGTCTGGAACGCCCGCGTCGGCGTCGCCCCCGCGTCGAGGCGTCACCAGCCTGCTGGGACGCGATGTGCCAGAGATGCGCGACAAACTTGGCACATGACTCCCGAACTCAAGGCCGTACCTCTAGAGCAACACAACATGGCATGAACATGATCCTTCGGAGGTCTGTGCCAATTTTTTGAATCGGCGAGGAACCGCCCTGCTTGGCGTCCAGAGGGCGCCAGGGGCGGCACCAGAGGCACCGCCAGTGGGGCCAGCGCCGATCCAAGAAATCTGCACGGAGCTCCGACACTTTGTGTTTATGTAGACTCTCTTCGATCCCCGGAAACTGAAATGGGCCACGGGTGAAAGTGAAAGCAGACACGCGCGCGCTGGAGGAGCTTTTCGACGTTGGCACTTACCCACATCGGAGGAGGAAGGCAATTTCTGCTGTGCCTCTGGAGACGACTGGGGACCTCTGGACCTCTCGGCGATGCGGCGCGATCCTCCGACCCCATCCACACCGAACCCATCTGGGAAGCCTAGATCTTCACCATTATCCTCATCCTCCTCCTTTTCCTTCTCCTGCTCCTCCTCCTCCTCTTCCTCCTTCTCCTCCTCCTCCTCCTCCTCCTCCTCCTCCTCCTCACCCTCACCATCCCGAGTCGCCGGCAACGCTCTGAGGGGTCAAGGCGGGGGGCTCAAGGGCTTCTGGATCCTCTCTAGGGCCCACGCTATCGGGCCAGAGAAGCGGCGCCCCCCCAACTGCGAGGCGCGCGTGCGGACCGCCAGCTGGCCCGACCCAAGCTTTCTAGCAGAAGGCTTTGTCCTCCCTCTCCTCCTCCTCCTCCTCCTCCTCCTCCTCCTCCTCCTCCTCCTCCTCCTCCTCCTCCTCCTCCCTCCTCCTCCCTCCTCCTCCTCCTCCTCCTCCTCCTCCTCCTCCTCCTCCTCCTCCTCCTCCTCCTCCTCCCTCCTCCTCCTCCCTTCTCCTCCCTCCTCCTCCTCCTCCTCCTCCTCCTCCCTCCTCCTCCTCCTCCTCCTCCTCCTCCTCCCCCTCCTCCTCCTCCTCCTCCTCTCCTCCTCCTCCTCCTCTCCTCCTCCTCCCCCCTCCTCCTCCTCCTCCTCCGCCTCCCCCTCCGAAGCCACCTCCTCCTCCTCCTCCTCCTCCTCCTCCTCCTCCTCCTCCTCCTCCTCCTCCTCCCCCTCCGAAGCCACCTCCCGCTCTTCCAGAGATCGCCCTCCGGACTCGCGAGTGGGGGGGTCTCTGGCGGCCCCCTGCGCCAGAGGGCCTGGGCGCCGTGTCCGCCGCCGGCGCAGGCCGTGCGCGCTCGGGTCACCAGATGTTCGGCCAAGCAGATCGGCGCATCGTAGGTTTGGGGCCAGACTGCGCCCAACAGCTCCTGCCTCCAAGGTCGCCCTTGCGCGCAGCCCAGGCGGCGCGGCCAGCTCCTCCGCCTCCGCGGGGAAGTCGCCGGCCGCGCCTCCGCCGGCCGCGGCGGAGGCCCACGAGGCCCCCGGGCCCGGGGCGGCGGCGATGCCCGCCGAGGATCTGCTTTCTGAGCGCGCTGCTTATCTCTGAAGCGGAACTCGAGGAACGAAGCATCGCTGTTCTCGGAGACGCATGCGTTCCCCGCGGAGCCTTTCCCCAGGGCCTCCGGAGCCTGAGGGCACACTCGATGATGCTGCACGGCACGAGGATGGCAGGAGGCAAGCAAGGGAACTCTGACGTGATATGCTGCAGCTCCAAGCTCACACTCGCAAGAGGGAGCCATAACAATCTCTGGTGACATTCCTTGCTTGACGGATGGCACTCTGATCTTGTCAACGAGCTGTGGGAACGAATCCTGCAATATTTCGTCTAGGCATTGCCGCTATCCAAAGTGAGCCGTGGCCGAGACACTCCATGGGACGTCCCACCCTGCTCTGATCACAACAACCTCAGGATAACGTTCAAGGGACTTCCGTGCAAACCATATTCTTCCATACGACCCACTGGCTTGCACAATATTCTCATTAGCTCGCCGCATGCAACTGGAGGGCCTTGGAGCAAGACCATCTCAAGAACTGTCCACATGCGACTGTTACAAGCCAACAGCGGCATGCAATAACGCCGCAAGTATGCCGCACACGCATGATGCTATCTGCAGCTTAATTTTGGAGGATTGCTAGTGGTGGCCAGAGTCAGCATCAACACCACTTGTGACTTCAATTGGCCGACGAGCAGTGCAACACTCGCTTACTAAGAATTGGCCCCATGTGCTGCGACTCGAGATCCTAAGATCTTTACGACGGGCTTGATCGTTTTACCGTGCAATTAAGAGTCGCGACGTTGACAATGTGAAGCTATCATCCAGCTGATCTCAGTTGAGGTGTAAAACCATATTCGGGCTCCCTCAACCCATGGGCGGCAGACGTTTCCATAATGGTGTCGTCAATGCTGTATGAGCTTGTCTGTGTATACGTTCATAGAGAAAACAAACAGAAGGAGAGAGAGAGAGAGAGAGAGAGAGAGAACCAGAGAGAGAGAGAGAGAGAGAGAGAGAGAGATAGAGACATATATTACCAGTGCTGTATATGACTGAATATGCGTATGCAAATACGAGGTTGACATACAACACTAATGATTATATGTCTGATGTACCTCCTAAGCCGCCTCAAGGCCTTGGGCATAAATCGTGATCTGCGGCGCGGGCTGTCGATCTTGCGATTAATCTTGTCGTCGTCGCCCGACCCGTGTCTCGCCTGCGCCCCTCCCGCGACCCTCTTCAAGACCAACCGGCGACCCACCCGAGACCCGCCCGCGACCCTCCCGCGACCTACCCGCGACCCACACCTGCGAGCCACGTCCGCGACCCCCACCCGCGAGCGCCCGCATTGTTTCGCAAGAACTTTACTTCTACGGCGGGCTGGCTGTGTTGCAGGAAGACGTGGTGTCTGCGGCGGGCTTTGTCAAATTGGCTTTCGATCACCGCGAACCGTCCAAAGCCCTCCACACGACTCACGCACGGTGCTGTGCAAAAACAACGGCGCCTGGAGTTTTTACCATGAGAACAAACATCACTTGGGGCATCCTTATACACAGTGGCCTTCGGCCCGCCACACTGGCAAAACATCTCAAGCGCCCCGTTACTCGTATCCGCAAATGTGAAGCTGGTTGTCCCGATGGTTGTTCTACTGGTTGTCCCGATGGTTGTCAGGACCGCTGTCCTGAAGGTCCTGCCGATGATTGTCCCAATGGTTGTCCCGATGGTTGGTCCACCGCTTGTCCTGATGACTGTCCCGATGGTTGCCCCAATGGTTGTGACGATGGTTGTCCCAATGGTGGTCCCGATGGTTGTCCCGACGGTTGCAGCCATGTTCGTCCCGAGGTTGTCCCCTTGGTTGTCCCGATGGTTGTCCCGATGGTTGTCCGACTGTTTGTCCCAACGGTTGCCCCGTGGATGCCCTGTGGTTGTCCTCGGCTGTCCTGTCGTTGCCTCGCGGTTTTCCCGTGGCTGTCCCGTCGTTGTCCCGGGGTTGTCCCGCAATGCTCCCATGGTTGTCTCGTGGCTGTCCCGTAGTTGCCCCGTATTTGTCACGACGTTGTCCCGTGGTTGTTTCGTGGTTGATCCTCAATTGCCCCGTAGTTGTCCTCTTCTCGTCCCATGGTTTTCCTGTGGCTGTCCCGGGGCTGTCCTGACATTGTTCGGTGCTTGCCCAATGGTTGTCCCGTGGTTTCCATCGTTATCCGTACCTGTCCCGTGGTCGTCCTGTGGTTGTCCCGTGGTTGTCCCGTGGTGGTCCAGTGGTGTGGACGCCCGATGTGAGATCGAAATAGAAAATTATACTACTAGATTGGTCGTGGGACCGGTAGATCGAATGATAAGGAGATCGACAGATATAGTGTAAGGCTGGTCAACGATCTGATCGATAGGTAGATGCATTGTTCGTGACATAGATCGTTCGTGAGATCGTTAGGTGGTGAGACCGATTGGTAGATACTCCTGGTAGACACTGATGCCGACATCAGAGCGAAGGGGCCGAATGGTCATTCACCTTCCCTGGGCGCGTGGCTGAACTGAGGTTCTGCGGTCCGGATTGTTGTTGTTGTTGTTGTTGTTGTTGTTATTGTTATTGCTGATGTTGTTGATGAGCTCTCGCTACTGAAGAATCCGCCGGCCCCCTTGTGGGACCACCAAGCTGTGGGGCGAAGGTTCGCAATTTCCTGTGCCAATTGCAGCTTCCAATTTCTACCGTTACAATTCTGCTTATTGCTGCTTACTGTTCCTCGTTGATGGACCGCCCGGGGAGGGGCGGGGTAGGCCCAAACGGGCAGGTTTAGCACGCCCTGAGCGTGTGCTCTGAATTGCTAGGGTGAGTAAAGATTGTCACCCATCACGCAGATCGGCGGGGTCAGGGTCCAAAAACAATGGTGATTTTCAACATTTCTGAAATTCGCTGGCACCCCTCACGCAGATCGGCGGGGTCAGGGTGCAAAAACACATGGGAGTTGCCACAGTTCTGAAATTCGCTGGCACCCATCACGCAGATCGGCGGGGTCAGGGTCTGAGAACCGATAAGATTTTCAACATTTCTAAAATTCGGTGGCACCCCTCACGCAGATCGGCGGGGTCAGGGTGCAAAAACACATGGGATTTGCCACATGTTTGAAATTTCCTGGCACCCCTCACGCAGATCGGCGGGGTCAGGGTCCAAAAAACATTAGGGAATTGATGCATTTCTGACATCCGGTGGCACCCCTCACGCAGATCCGTAGGGTAAGGGTGCAAAAACACATGGGATTTGCCACAGCTCTGAAATTCGATGACACCCATCACGCAGATCGGCGGGGTGAGGGTCTGAAAACCCAACAGATTTTCAACATTTCTGAAATTGGGTGGCACCCCTCACGCAGATCGGCGGGGTCAGGGTGCAACAACACATGGGAGTTGCCACATTTCTGAAATTCGATGACACCCATCACGCAGATCGGCGGGGTCAGGGTCTGAAAACCGAACAGATTTTCAACATTTCTGAAATTCGGTGGCACCCCTCACGCAGATCGGCGGGGTCCGGGTGCAAAAACACATGGGATGTGCCACATTTCTGAAATTCGGCGGCACCCCTCACGCAGATCCGTAGGGTCAGGGTCCGAAAACGCATGGGATTCTCACCATTTCTAAAATTCGGTGGCACCCCTCACGCAGATCCGTAGGGTCAGGGTCGAAAAACAAACAGGTCCCGACACTGCTTCACGGCGGCGCCCAGACCTCATGATTTAGCTTTTGCATCTCCCATTATCCGAGACAGGGAGCCGGCGGCATGGGGCGAAGCCCTTGCGGATAATGTTTGTTGACCCCCCCCCCTTCGACGCACATTGCATTTTCCAATCGAAATGCCTTTTCCCGGGGCTCGCACCATGTTTTTATCAGGGAAACTCTTGAGCCTTAGAATGGGGCCCCTGGCCCCCGAGTTACAACAACAACGGCTACCACCTGTTACTTCCTCAATGTTTTTCCCAAACCGCGCTCTCGCATGGGACTTTCTCGCAATTCATTCAGACGCCGCGCCCTCGACACTCAGGAATCACGCTCTCGCTTCCTATCTCACGATTTACTTGGGCTTCGCGCTATAGCTCGAAACTCGCGAGTCATGCAGGACGCACGCTTCGGCAACCCGCCTGCTCGACCTGGCCGCCTGGGCCCGCCTTCCCGACCTGCCTCTTAGGGTCTACCCGCCCGATCTGCCCGTTTGATTCTGCCACGTGCTTTCTGCTCCTAGCCCCCCTCCTGCTACTCTTTCTCTCGTTCGCCATCCTCCTCCCTTCCTCTTTGTCTCTTTCTTCCATCCGTCCTCTCATACCCTGCCGTAGGAGCTGCACGAAATACACGTTGCAGGTAAGAAAGATGTACCCCCAGGGGGGGGGGGGGGACGATCGAAGACGAAGGGGGCGGGTATCGATGGCTTGGGATATACGTGTTGACTGGCACGCGCGCAGATAAGAGCGAACAATCTTGAACTGATTATTTCTCTTGTTGTTGTCGTTGTCGTTGTCGTCATTGTTTGTGTTGTCGCCGTCGTTGTCGTTGTCGCCCTTGTTGTTGTAATTGTCTTTGTTGTTGTTGTTGGCGTTATTGTGGTTGTGGTAATTGTTTGCTAATTGCTGTTTGTTGCTTGTTGTCGGCGTCCCCCCCGCGACCCACCCGCGACCCCGCCCGCGACCCAACTGCGACCCATCCGCGACCCACCCCGCGACCCGCCCGCGACCCATCCGCGACCCACCCGCGACCACCCGCGACCCACCCGCGACCCGCCCGCGACCCGGCTCGCGACCCACCCGCGACCCGCCCGCGACCTGCCCGCAAACCACCCGCGACCCACCCCGCGACCCACCCACATTGCTTTTAACGAAAAAATCGGCGCCTGCGGCGAGCTCGGAGTTGTGAAAATTAAACGCCTGCGGCGGGCTTATTCAGAACGTCGCCGACTGCCGACGTCCCCAACGCCCCCTCACTCTTATCCGCAATTGCGCAGGGTTGCGTATATAAATATATGTACGCACAAACACCGTTGCTGTTAAATAGATCGCCAGCGAATCCGATTCAGCTCCAATTGCAAACCAAAAGCTGCACCCATCACCCCAACCCTCCTGATCACCCGAAGTGTGGTCCTAAAGGAAGTGGGGTGTAACTTTGCAGAAGGGTCGCCCAAACAACAGTAGATGATCGAGAGTGGGAATTCGAGGGGGACATACATCGGCAGCGCATGCAACTGCCTTGATCACCCATGTCGTCCCCCTTTGGGGGAGGAGTGGCAACAACAGAAACGATGGCGAAGCCAACATCAACGGAACTTGCGATGAAAGAACAGGGGTCCTGGTGGAAACGAGTCCTGGACACAGGAGCGTTCCCCAGAACACTTTTATATCCCAGGTCGTTTTGCCACGGTCCTAGGACCCAATAAAAGGGTACTGGGAGGCAGAAAATTGCGAATGACGGCAGGATCTCCTTCCCCCAGGACTCCTCCTCTCAGGTCACCTCTTCCTCCAACCATGCAACAAGGGCTGGGTGTGTCATGCGGTTCGCCTGACCACTCGAGATTCTGGCAGTGAGTCGATGTTATGCGAAGGCCTGTGAGCTCCTTCGCCACTGACTTGCGCGCTCCGCCCCCGACGCTGCCCGATCTCATTGAAAGCACATGTGTGGGCGCACCGATTTCCCGACTAATGAAGCGACGGTCGAGCTAGCCACATCCCGAGACGCTGTGTTCTAGACAGCCGCTGCAGAGAGAGAGAGAGAGAGGGAGAGGGAATGGAATTGCGAGGTTTGGAGAGGACGGAGGGGGGGGGGGGCGTGGGTACGTCTGCCTGGCTCTTCCCTCCTCCCTCCTCCCTCCTCCCCCACCCGCGCTGATGTTGGATCACTTTAAGTCGGGCCTGTCCCCCTCCAGGGGGATTTTCGACGAAAACTCAAACATATCCTAAAAATCATCAAACAATAATCCAAAAATAGTCTGGGGACTATTTTTGGAATATTCTTTGACCTTTTTGGGGCAATTGTGGAGTATTTTATCTTCCGTCGAAAATCCCCCTGTAGGGGAACACGCCCGACATAAGGATCACTACTTCGTGGCGCGCGCTGCGCGGTTCCGATGGCGCTTCGCCCTGCGGGAACACGGTCGCAGGCCGCTCCCGGGTCCCGCGCCACCTCGGGTGCGTGCCCTGGACAGCGGCAAGAAAACGCGCCACCGCGCCTCTGGCTACGGGGCGGGCGTGCCCTCGAGTCCTGGGCCCAGTCCTCGAGGCCTCAGAACCCTCACTCCTGGGGAGGTCTTCGAAAGTAGGGGGCAAACAAACCTACCTCGCTTTTGACCACCCTCGCCTCCAAGAGATACCAAGCGATGCCAAACTGTGGCCTGTACTGGTCAGGCCGCCTGACGGGGAGGCGCGTGGTATGACTTGGCTCTGCCTGGAAGCGAAAGACGGGCAGGTACAGTCGGGGCGTTGACCTAGGGAACCCTAAATAAGGAACGAGGCCCCTCTTTTGCCCTTGTTAAAACCTCGATTCCCCATGGGAGCCCCAAGGGAAACCCGAGGCAAACTGAAAAACAATCAAGGGACACCGAGCCCCTCCCCAACGAAAAACGTTCCTTCTTCAAGGCCCCGACTGTAGCACTTCACGCTCTGAGAAAGAGAGGCCCAGACCCCGCGCTTGCACTCTCCCAGGGCTTCCCGCGTGCCCCGCTGGCGTGGCGCGTGCCCCCCTGGGGCTCCCGGGGTGTGTGTGACTACCTACCAGACCACCCCAACCCAACCCGAAGACCCGAATTTGACTCGAATTTCGGGTTGGGGGGGGTACGGGTTCCATGTGTTTTTTCGACGTTCCCCGACCCCCCCCCACTGGAAATGGAGGGCAATTTGAGGCCTTCGGGTTGGGTTGGGGTGGTCTGGTAGGTGGTGAGTGTGCTCGCAGGGACCGCTGCGGTGCCGAGAGGGCCTCGACGTCGGGCCGCGAGGGCGCCGCCGCGCACGGCAGCGCCGGCTGCCCCCCCGCCGGGCGGAGGGGCTCCCGGCCAGCGAGCGCGCGGGTGGGGGGGACGGAACTCGAGAGTTATGTTGTTCCCACCCTACATAAGGACCACATCCCAGAAATACTGTCGAGCACCCGGAAACATGTCGTCAAAAGAGTGTCGAAACAGTGTCGGAACAGTGCCGGGCGAGTGTCTCCCAGGGCCCGACGCGTGAAAACCCTTGAGTTACGGTACTTTTTTGGGCGCTCGAAATTCTTCCTGGTAATCAAGGCTGAAGTAGGTTGGAACATCAGAACTCGAGAGATGAAACCCCGAATCCCTGCAACTGCAGGGGCCCTTCGGGCCCGACAGCTGCACGCGGGCGCACGCGCGCGCGTGACAAACGCGGGAAAAGGGAACATCTGGTTTCGCATCCCTCCCGGCCGACCTTTTTGGCAGCCAGAAGCGAGAACAACGTGAGACGAGCGATCGGAATCGCCCGAACGAGCGACCACCCCCAACGAATTCTCCGAGACACTAAACAAGTTTACACGTTTGCGGAAACCCTTTTCGAGCAAACATGATGGACCCACAAACCCGGAAAGGGATATAGACATGTGCAGCATGGTCACGTTTTCACGATACCCAACTGGGCGACACCTCACGAAACATCCCACGATACACCCCGCGAAACATCCCACGAGACACCTCACGAAACATTCCACGAGACACCTCACGAAACATTCCGAGACACCCCGTGAAACACTCCACGAGACACCCCACGAACAGGCAACCACTCAACCAGACACCCCACGAAACATTCCACGGGGGTGCGACTGGGTGTGGTCGTGCTGGGGCGTGGTCGTGCTGGGGCGTGGTCGTGCTGGGGGGTGTGTCGTGCTGGGGGGTGGTCGTGCTGGGGGGTGGTCGTGCTGGGGCGTGGTCGTGCTGGGGCGTGGTCGTGCTGGGGCGTGGTCGTGCTGGGGCGTGGTCGTGCTGGGGCGTGGTCGTGCTGGGGTGTGGTCGTGCTGTGGTGAGGTCGTGCTGGGGTGTGGTCGTGCTGGGGTGTGGTCTTGCTGGGGTGGGGTCGTGCTGGGGTGTGGTCGTGCTGGGGTGTGGTCGTGCTGGGGTGTGGTCGTGCTGGGTGGTCGTGCTGGGGTGGGTCGGGCTGCGGTGTGGTCGTGCTGGGGCGTGGTCGTGCTGGGTGTGGTCGTGCTAGGGTGGGGTCGTGCTGGAGTGGGGTCGTGCTGGGGTGTGGTCGTGCTGGGGTGTGGTCGTGCTGGGATGTGGTCGTGCTGGGGCGTGGTCGTGCTGGGGTGGGGTCGTGCTGGGGTGGGGTCGTGCTGGGGTGTGGTCGTGCACCCTGTGATCGATCGATCGGGTCGTGCTGGGGTGTGGTCGTGCTGGGGTGTGGTCGTGCTGGGGCGTGGTCGTGCTGGGGTGGGGTCGTGCTGGGGTGGGGTCGTGCTGGGGTGTGGTCGTGCTGGGGTGGTCCGCACCCTGTGATTTATCGATCGGGTCGTGCTGGGGTGTGGTCGTGCTGGGGGGGTGTGGTCGTGCTGGGGTGTGGTCGTGCTGGGGTGTGGTCGTGCTGGGGTGTGGTCGTGCTGGGGTGTGGTCGTGCTGGGGCGTGGTCGTGCTGGGCGTGGTCGTGCTGGGGTGTGGTCATGCTGGGGGTGTGGTCGTGCTGAGGTGTCCCGCACCCTGTGATTTATCGATCGGGATTTCAAAAACAAGCGTTTCGCCTGAGACATCCTCAAATTTTAATCCGCCGGCCTCCTTCGACCTCGATATTTATCAAGGAAAGAATCCGCCGGCCTCCTTCAAGTTGGGCACGGGGGACTATGTTTACATACTAAAAGAGAACCCTGGGCCCGCGCCCTTTCCGGGAAAAACCCGATCCCCCCCCCCATGGGGGGGTCCCGGGGGTGTTTGGCGAACTGCCACGCCCTGACATCAGCCTGGTAGACTCGGGTGCCACTGCAACAGTTGTGAGAGCCTCGCTGCCTGCGACGCACTGCCCGAAGCAGGGCGGCGGGCTGGACAACAGAAACATGAACGCACGGGAGGAGGAAGGAGGAAATGGCACTACAGTCATCAGAACAGCCCTCGGATTTTAAGCTTCTGTGCGTTACGGCACTCGAGCGGCCTTCTGGCGGGCCCACCAGCGCGTGATGTACACCCCGCACGTGGCCAGAGCACGGCCTCGCAGTGCTGGCGCGGTCCCAGAAACAGGAAGCTGGCCAGGCGCAGCTTTGGTATGGACGGGGTCGCCAGGCCCGTTTCGCGACTCATTGCTGCGGACATGTGCGAGCACTCTGCGTGATGTTCGATGGAATCTTCCCCAGCGGCGCGGCCGAAGTAGCATGCCGACCGCGCCTGGAAGCGGCGACTTGTGAAAGGAAGCCTCCGACACGGCTTCGGAATAGACGGGGTCGGAGGATCGCGCGGCATCGCCGATACGTCGGCGACACGTCGCCGATGCATCGGCGGTGCACCCGCCACACCGGCGACGTATCGGTGCCGCTGGAGTGGAGGGAGCGGGGCTTCGCATCGAGCCGCATCGCCGATGCGCCGGCGATGCGGCGCGACCCTCCGACCCCCTTCTGCTCGGAGACCACCTGTGAAGGGGAACTGGGACACACAAATGAATACACACAAATAAACATATCCCCCACATTTTCCCATACTTTCTGGGTGTTTGCCTCCCCCCCCACTTCCCATATTTTCCAATACTTTCTGGGAATCGCCGATTAATTGTGTCTGTGTGTTTGTTCCCCTCCTGAACCTGGGAGGCCCAGGGCGACCCAGCCGCTCCAGAGGGGCGGGATGCAGGCGGCCATGCGCCCGCGGAGGGCCCGCGCGGGCCACCGCGGGGAGCGCCGGCGGCAACCCCTGCCCACTCGTGCGCAGGAGAGCACGTATGAAAGGGAACTGGGACGCACAAATAAATACACACAAATAAACATATCCCCCAATATTTTCCCATACTTTCTGGGTTTTTATCTTCCCCCCCACTTCCCATAATTTTCCAAATTTTCCTAGGAATCGACGATTAATTGTGTTTGTGTGTTTCTTCCCCTCCTGAACGTAGCTCGGGAGCGCGACCAGGAGCGACCAGCCGAACGCGAGTGTGCGAGGCCCCCAAGAGGCCCCCAAGAGGCCCGCAGGAGGCCCCAAAACGGCCCCCGAGAGGCCTCAAGGATGCCTCCACGAGGCCCCCGAGAGGCCTCCTACAAGATCCCAGCGAACCTCCAATATGCTTCATACCCACAGCCCAGGCACGGTGGCGGGAGTTGCCGTAGGCAGCTGGATTAGCCGAGCGCAAGTGCGCTGCCACACCCAACGCTGTCGATCACTACCATTGTTTCCGGTGGCGCGGGCCGCTCGCGAGGGCGACAGGCCGCGCGCCTCGAAGGAGCGCCAGGCAGCGTGCAGCTGCATGACGAACGCCTGATCGAACCATCGCGCCCAAGCGCTAAGTCGCTCAATTCACGCGGGAGTTTCCGCTCTCTCGGATAAATTAGATTCGGCCACCTCGACTGCAATCGACACTATAACCCGCACGTGGGGTGGACAATCGCCAGCGGGTACACCTTTCCCTGAACTGTCTTTGATTTCTGTTCCCTGGTCTGGACATGCGCCTCTAGCCGGCGGCACTTCTCTTCAGCCGATGTGTCGTGCAGACACGGCGCTATCGATTGACTTCAATCGAGCCGAGATTCGGTCCGTCGCGCACTACGCACAAGCTCACCGACCATCGGGCGCGCACCTTGTCCTCGATCTGGGGAGGCTCGTGATCGAATGCTTCGAAGGCGCAGGGACTCGTCTCCATTTTCACCCGCGTCCCCTTCTCCTCCGTCCTTCTCCTCTCTTCCTCTTGGAAGTGCTGGCGGGATTGACGTGAGAGACTACAGGGAGTGCTTCCATGCACATGCGAACTCCCTGATGGATTATTGCATTTGAGGCTTTGCACGCTGGACGGGCTCAGCGGGTCAGTCAGGGCCGATGTGGTGCTGGCAACGCCACTGCCGATACCGAGCCTCACGTGCGCGCACGTAATTCTCATGCAACATGAGCACGCAGCCTGGGATCGCATGGGGTCTGAGCGGACTTCAACAAACATTTGCACAACTGACGACGTGCATGTATGATGATCACGGAGAGGGAGGCACCAGTCGGAACTTGCAAGACAGGGCGTCAACATGCGTTGAATCCGACGCGCTCGGTCCACGCGTGTATGCGCGCATGGTCTATATCTTACATTGCCTTAGAGTTGGCGGGGGGGCGACAGACGAAGAACGTCACTGCTTTGTCGCCCATCGGGACGGGCAATGCACATTCTGCGTCGCCATCACAACTTCCGTCTCCTCCCTCTCCCCCATCGCCCTCCTGACACCGGTCATTGTTTCAAGCTCCTGCAAGGGATCGAGGGAGCCATAAAGGAGCAATCGAGACAGAGAAGAGAGGACCACTTTCGCCAGAAGGGCTCACCCAAGGATCGGGAGACCTCCCTCAGAGGCCCGACCCTTCACCATGGGAGGGGGGGCGGAAACAATCTGCGAGTGGGACGGGAAAAAGGTACCAGCGCACCAGATCATGATGTGTGTACCTGGAAATGGTCCACCGAGGGCCTCCCAAAGATACCCCCGAGAGGCCCAGCGCGTCAAGCAGAATTCTGCGCGTCAGTCTTTGTTTTTTGCGTTCGTCTTTGTTGGCGGCGCGCACAGGGGGTTAGAGGGAGGGGGGAGGGCTTCTTAGGAGGGAGCCGCTTCTTAGAAGACGCCGGCCCCTCAGTGGGCCCCAGAGAGCAGGGCCATTGGTTTGCCCTCTCCGCCAACGTGTCTCTGGAACACGGAAGCGGCAAAAGAAAAGGCGGCCGGAAACGGCAAAAAACGGCTTCAGGATTGGAACCAGAGCCGGAACGGGTATCGGGAGCGGCCAAGAGGGGGGTGTCCAAGAGGGGGGGGGTGCAAATCATGACCGGCGGCATGTGCGCGGCCCAGCGGGGGGGCCAGGGACGTGATGAAATAAGAAGAGGCGCGATGAAACCTGGGGAAGTATCATGGCCCCCGCCATGATATCCACCCCCACCTAGTCATCCCCCCCCTCTTTCCCGCCCCCGAGGGTAACAAAAACCGCAGCGGAACCGGTAACAAAAAAAAACGGCGTCGCAGCCGGCGACAAAAACGGCAGAGCGGAACGGGTCACAGAGCCGGCCCTGTCGTTTCCGGGGCCCGCTGCACTGCCTCTGCAGGGGAGGCCCGCGCAGTCCAAGAAGCGGAGGGTGCTTCCAAGAAGCCCGGAGCCTTCCCCCCTCTCTGCAGGGGCCCTGGGACACATACACACCTAGACACAAACGGCAGGACCCCCAAACCCTTGTCAGTATCTTCGGGGGGGGTCGGCCGCCGAAGGGCACGAGGCAAGCGGGAGGAGGGGGAAACGGCGGGCCACTGGCGGGGGGGGGGCCCTGTGCTGGCATGAGGATCCTCCTCCTCCTCCTCCTCCTCCTCCTCCTCCTCCTCCTCCTCCCTCTGCACCTCCTCCTCCTCCTCCTCGATCTTCTGGGGGAGCGACGATGCATCGTGTCTGCGTGCTTCTGTCCACTCCCCCCCCTCTCCCTGCCGCCCTCTGCGCGTGGCCGACGCCTTCGCGCGCGGTGGCCCCCGGGGTGCTGCGGCACAGCCCCCGGGGGGGGGGGCTCCCCAAGGGGGCCCGCGGCCCTGGAGGGGTCCCGAAGGGGGCCCGTGGCGGCGCCAGGGAGGCTTTTTGGAGCCAGGCGCTTCGAGAAAGGGGGCGCTCGCGGGCTCCCACGGACGTGTGCTCGGCCTGGCCCCAGCTGCGGCTCACTTTGTCGTCGTCGTCGTCGTCGTCGTCGTCGCCGTCGTCGTCCTTGCCGTTGTCGTCGTCGTCGTCTTCGTCGTCGTTTTTGTCGTCGTTTTTGTCGTCGTCGTCGTCGTCGTCGTCGTCGTCGTCGTCTTTGTCGTCGTCTTTGTTGTCGTCGTCGTCGTCGTCGTCGTCGTCGTCGTCGTCATCGTCGTCGTCAACAACTTGACGAAGGTTCCCCCCCATTTTCTCTAAATACCCTTGCCTTGTAGGAGTTCTAGCTTAAACCCGACTAATATTGGTCCGTTGCCCCCCTTCCCCCCCCCGAATTCCTGTGGCTGTGCCTATGCCTAATGCCTCCCCCCCTTAACTTCTATGCCTACGCCTGTGCCTATGCACCTATCTATTTGGAGTCAACGCTGGCTGGAATTCTTTATCCCCTCACGTCCCTGACTACCATTCGGTCGGGCATGTCCTTCTCTTGGAGGGAGATAAACACAGTCAAGCAATCTTCAAAAAAAGTCAAACATAGCCAAACAAATCGTCCACCGCGTATCTGTTTGACTAGTTGTTGTATTCCCCCTGAAGAGGGGCATGCCCGACTTAACACTACAATGGGTCACCTTTTCTGGATGGGCTGACGGGGATACGTTTTAGTCAGCGGCCGCGGGCGAGCGCGCCGGCGGCGAGTCAGGTCAAAGCGGGCTACGCAGAGACTAATTAGGCAGAGGACTGACGGGGATACGCAAAACGTCAAACTTTGGATTCATCTCTGGCCCAATTTGAACACAAAACACGGCGGGGTCGCACTGGTGCCTGCCGGGTCTGATGCGAGGTGTGGTGGCCGCTGTCCTTCCCCGAGGCGGAGCACGACCAATCCCCGGAGTTCGGGGAGATGGCTCGGGGCGCCCGCGAGAAGCGGGAGGCGCGTAGCCTTATGTCGGGCGTGTCACCCATACAGGGGGATTTTCTACGAAACCTAAAACATACCCCCAAAATGTCCCAGGCAAAAAATATACAAAAAAGTCCCCAGACTATGTTTGGACTATTGTTGGATTTGTTTAAAGTATTTTTTATGTTTCGTCGAAAATCCCCCTGTAGGGGGACAGGCCGGACTTAAGTGTAGTGTATGCGGCCCACGCAATCAACCGACGTCACAGGGGAAGGGAGCCTGTTTCCACCGAGCACGTGCTCTCGTGGCTGGCGTGTGCTTTGGCTGGCCAACGGAGCCAGGCCGACGCCTCTCTGACATGCAGCAGCGCGCGACGGCCACCACCTAGCACGTATTATCGTCAAACTGGCTTCAGCGACCACAAGCACAGCTGCGGCACGCAACTGCCCCTGGCGATGGTCATGCAAACTCCGCCACCGTGCGTTGTGCACGTTGAGGCGTGGAAGAATGCCAAGGTCTGCCTGGCAGGGTTCTTGTGCTAAGAAGGGGCTCCTCCCCTCCCACGGTCGCAGACTGATGCGTGCATCCCCCTGCTCAGCGAGGCTACTTCTCTCGTGCCCGCTCGAGATGGTGCGCTTCCGGCATGGCAGCTACTGCCGACCCACTCCTTCCACGTGTGCCCGCTCGAGGATGATGCACTTCCCGCGTGGCAGCTGGTGCCTGAGCTCTCAATCCAAGCGCGCCCGCTCCAGGACTGCGCGCTTCCCGCACGGCTGCTGCCTCCTGGACCCCTCATCCCACGCGCACCCGCTCGAGGATCGTGCACGTCCCGCGTTCCCAGGCGACGTTCCCAAGCGCTCCAGGGTGCCCCAAGCCACGATCCCTCATCAAACACAATGGATGTGCGTCCCGAGCTTCCGACTGCCCTTACAGGCAACCAAGGACACCAAAATGACCCAAGATGCCTCGAAGACGGCCCAAGATGGCCCCACGGTGGCCAAACATTGCTTCAAGAAGGACCAAAGAAGCCTCCAAGAGGGCGCATAAGGGCCATGTGAGGACCTCCAACAGGATCCGAAGAAACCAATATCATTGATCCCCTCATTGTTTTTGAATGGTGTTCGTATTCTCGCCTTTTCGGGCTGCCGTCAGCTCAATACGGCCCACGAGGACTCCGAGATGGCCCAAGAGGCATCCAAGACGGCCCCAAGACGGCCCAAGAGGGCCTCCCGTGGGACCCAGGACGGCCTTGAAGTCCCTTGGATGGCCCACGACGGCGCCTAGACGGCCCCCAGACACCACCATACGGCCAAGAGGGCCTCAAGACGGCCCAAGAGAACCCCAAGCTGGCGTAAGAGGGCCTCAAGATGGCCCAAGAGGGCCCCATGGACCCAAATAACTGCCTCACGGGAGGCCAAAATAGCTCAAACGAGTTTCCTCCTCATCATCATCATCAGCATCATCATCACCTGCATCATCATCGTCAGCATCATCATAATCAGCAGCAGCAACGACATCATCAGCATCAACATCATCATCAACAACACCAGCATCATCCCCACCCTCATCACATTCATCAGAAACAGCACCGTCATCAGCAACATCATCATCATCATCATCATCATCAGCAGCATCAGCATCAGCATCAGCATCAGCATCAGCATCATCATCATCATCATCATCATCATCATCATCACCATCATCACCATCACCATCACCATCACCATCATCATCACCATCACCAGCGTCATGTTCATCATCACCATCTGGCACGGTGGCGGGACGTGCCGCAAGCAGCTGAACACCAAAAGATGGAGCGCGTCCGAGAGAGAAACATATAGAGCGAGTGGAAAAACTCAGGGTCAAGGTGCCGAACAGTCTTGCACCGTCCCCGGGAGCACGGCTGCAATGGGGCTCCGCTGAGCGGATTGTCGCTGTGGTTGTTCTTCTTGTCGTCGTCGCCCGCCCTGCGACCCACCCCGCGACCCACCCGCGATCCCACCAAGTGGCTGTGCAACAGAATCGCCGCCTGCGGCGAGCTTGCTGTATCATGAATCTAATGCCTGCGGTACATTGGCTTCGGCCCCAGCAGGGCTGTCTGGACGCCCCCTCATTCTCATCTGCAGTTACGGGCATGAGGTGCAATTCTACGAGTTTGCATCCTCCTGCGCATGCGAAATGCATTTATGTCTGAACGGTTGCGGTGAGGATAGAAATGGGAATACGGATGCGACAGTGGCGCTGAAGATGGACCCATCAGTGCGAGAAAGAGATTTGATTATGTGAAATATTCTGACGACGTCTTCCGCCGAGCGAGGATGCCTTAGACCTTCAACACCTGCCGAAACTCATGGGCAGTGGAGGATGGCGGGAACATGGAGACACGAGGAACGAAAGGGATGAGAGGAGAGCAGGGGAGATGAGAGACGATGAGACTAGAAGTGGGAGCTCCCTCGCAAAGGCCCTGTTGCACGTGAGGTGTGCGCCCAGTGACAGACACTGCGCCTGCGGCGAAAGCGCCAGAAACAGCACTTTGGGCACAGCGGGCAGCGAGAAAACACAGCCTGCAAGAGACGCCCTGGACCCCTGTGGCGCTCTGGCAAGCTCTCCTACGCATAGAAGACGTGTCAAAACTGCGAAAACGCCAAAAGTTTAATGAGCAGGCCAGGCCCAACGTCGTGCACACACGGCGCGGAAGACTGCCACAAACGGAGACTGCAACCAGCGCCGCTGAGCTTGCGCTCCTACTCTGGACGTTCTCTGCTCGATTGGGCCAAACCCGCCAGCCTGGCAAAGGGTACCCCCAAAACATCCACTCGGTCCGTGCAGCAACCTGTGCCTGAGTCTCTCCGTCTTCCCTCGTCTCGCTACGCAGCATAAATCCGCCGCCCCCTGTTGATGTATCACAGGGGTGCCTGGCGTGCTAGACCCTGTGCGGCTTGGTTTCGGTTGTTTTGCAAAAAAAAGCCCCCCCTGGGGCTTCGGCCCAGCGCGCCGTCCACCCGAAAAGCGCAATCGCTGCACAAAAAACGTCCCCAAGACGGTTTAGATGTCCTCCAAGATGGCCAAGATGGTCTCCAAGTTCGCCCGAGCTGGTCCAAGATGGCCTCCAAGACGGCCCAAGAGGGTCCGAGATGCCTCCAAGCCCGCCAAGAGGCAACCAAGACGGCCCAAGATGGATCCAAGATGGCCCAAAAGGTTTGCAAGAGGTCTCCGCCTCCAAGACGGCTCAAGCGGCCCCTAAGAGGGCCTCCAGGATGGCCCGAAGAGGCCAAAATCATTAATGCTTCCTTGGTTATTGAAGGATGCTAACTTTTGTTTCTTTTCGGCCTTCCGAAGGCCCGATACGGCCCAAGAGCCCCCAAAGATCGCCCCAAGATCGCCCAAGCGGCCTCCAACCTGGCCCCAGAACGGCCCAAGAGGCCCCCAAGACGGCCCCAAGAGGGCCCAAAAGGCATTCAAGACGCCCAAGATGGCCTCCAAGACGGCCCTGAACACCCCAAGAGAACTCCACGTCGGCCCAGAGAGGCCTTCAAGACGGCTTCCGCTGGCGTCAGACGGGCCAGGAACGCCCTAAGGCGGGCAAAGAGGCCCCTGAGAAGCCCCCGAAGGCCCTCAAGAGGCCCAAGGAGGCCCCCAAGATGCCTCCAAGAGGCTCCAAGGAAGCTCCCAGGAGACCCCAAGCGTGCCCCCAGAGGCTCCCAAGATGCCCCCTCCTCTTCCTCCTCCTCCTCCTCCTCCTTCTCCTTCACCTCCTGATCTTCCCCACCATCCTCCCCCAAATGTTCCCCGAAGAGTGTCCACAAAGGCTAGTGGAACACATGGTCCGATAGCTTGGCAGAGCTCTTGCCACAACGCTCGGCCACGTGGCCGATTCCAAAAGGTAGGGGGCGGCGGTGATTCGCCGTAGGCGTCTTCGAACCTGTTCTCCTATCTCCCCTGACTCAGCGCGAAAGATCTCTGACAGTCTCCGCGCATCGTCTTAGAGGCAAGAATTCCGCAAGTATGTGTCGATGTATTGTTAGAATCCGATTGTCTTCGGTGCTTCAACATGGTGCTCCCGCTGCAGCGTGGGCCTCATCTTCGGATCGGCTCTGTGCTCCCGTCCTTCAGAATGGCGCTCTCGCCCCAGCGCGGGCCACACTTCTGGATCCGAGCCCCTTGTCATCGTTGTCCCACCCCTCATAACCCTCCTCCGCCTCCCGCTGGTCCTCCTGCTCCTCCCACTGCTTCCACTCCTTCCACTTCAGTTCCTGCTGCTGCTGTTCGTCCTCGTCCTCCCCCTTCCTCCTCCTCCTCCTCTTCCTCCTGCCCATCCTCCTGCTGACCCGTCGCCTCCTCCTCCTGCTTCATGTACGCAGCTCACCTATTCCGGTTGCGCATGGCACGATGTGGTCTTTTTTGGAGTGCCAGGTCGGCTATGACACGCGCCCACGGATAGAGCGCAACTAGAGCGCACCTAGCTTGTCCCCTCCTCTCTGCCCTCTCCGCACCTCTCTCCGACCTCTTCGCCTCCCTCGCCCCCGCTTCCGCCCCACAGGCTGCCTCCTTTTCCTCCTGCTTATCTTCCTCCTGCCCACGATACCCCGCTGCTCAATCGAAACCAGTGTGTATCATTGCAGCGACCTTGGTGGCCGGCGTTCTGCCATGGTGCTGAGCCTGCACCAGAGGAGCTGTTACCACAAGCCTGCGCTGTGGGGAACCGCGCATGGTGCGGGACGCTCAATTGGTTCTGGTCGTAGCTGTGGGGCCTGCTTGTCTTCCTCCCCCGCCCCCCCTCCCCCCCTCAATGCTCCCCAAGCAGACCCATGGTTAGGTCGGGCGTGTCCTCCTACAGGCGGGTTTCGGAAGCAAAACAACAAGTGATCGAAACATATAACAAGAACTGCCAGACATACTCAAAGACTCGTCCCCCGACTATTTGTTTGACAATTCTTGCCTATTCCGTTCGCAGAGGGACGCGCCCGACCTAAACCTGCGGCATCCTGCTTGGATTGCTGCTGGGCCTGCCAGGGACTCGCCCGGTGCCCGGTCGGCGGCCACGTCCTGGGTGGCCCGTTGGCACCCCGTGCGCTCCTGGTGGGTCCGCAGGGGCTGCGCCCGGCGCCCGCCCGTGGGCTTTTCGTGGGCGCCCCGTGCGCTGGGCGGCTGCGCCAGGGTGTCGCCTGGTGTCAGCTCGCAGGAGCCCTGTAGGCTTCTCGTGGGCGCCCCGTGAGCGTTCGCATAGCTTGCACCGCGTAACCTGCACCATACACATCTATATATGTATATATATATAAATTCATGTGTGTAAAGATGGTTGTCTTCCTAGCCAAACTTACATCCACACCCTGCCAAAGTTCGGGTGAACCGACCCCCCTTCCGCGCTTTTTCTAAGACTCGTTCCGCGCGATCGTTCCTCCAGCGTGCCAAACACCAGCATCCCCGCCAAGCCGGTATCGACCCCCTCCGCCATCTCCCGCGCCACCCCTTCGTGGGTACTCTGCGTGGTTGGCCGTCGCTCAGGGCTTCTCCCGGAAGAGTTGCCAAGGCTTAAAGCTAGGCGAGTCTGCAGGGCCGAGATTGCTTGAGCCATCTCGCCCCTGCAGACTGGGGCCATCCACTGCAAGAGAGGTGCCTTTCACTACAGGAGCGCTTGCCTTCCACACTATTCGATTGCGCAACATATGGATCGCGGGGCGCATGTGCGCGCCACCGCGCGCGCACGTCGAAACCACTCAGAACAAGCCAAACACACACACACACACACACATTCACGACATGGAGAATCAACATGTACCAAGAACCGTCCTTCCCAACCAACAAATGAAAGACTTCTGCACGCGCGCTCTCTGAAAGCAGAAGAAACCAGAAGGACTCAACAGTTCTGTCAGTTTGAACCATGCGGGCCACTTGCGATCGCATGTCGAAAACGTTCAACCACCATCGCGCGCCCACGAACTCTGTGAAACCATACGCTTCATGTCACACGCGCGCGTGTCCGAATGCGTGCGTCGAAATTCATCAACAACCAGGCGTCTTCTCAACATGTCAAAGCAACGTTGTCCAACACAGATGAAAACAGCAACCGCTTACAACAATGACACCCTTTGGGCAGACACCGCCCAACAGCTTTACACAAGGACACGACAAGTCACCTCGTGGCCCTTACTATTACTAATGCTTTAAACTGGTACGAGCTACCAAGTGCTACTCCTATTGCTGCCATTCCTGCCACTACTACTACTACGAATTGCTCCTTCTAGCGGTACCACGGCTACTAGTTGCTGTCATCACAAACAACTGCTACTGCTACTACTGCGACGGCTGCCACTACAACTACTACTAATACTAATACTACCACTACTACTACTACTACTACTACTACTACGACTACGACTACTACTACTACTACTACTACTACTACTACTACTACTGCTGCTACTACTACTACCTACTACTACCTACTACTACCTACTACTACAACTACAACAACTACTACTACTACTACTACTACTACTACTACAACTACTGACAAGACTAAGACAGCAGCTACTAGTACTACGATCTCTACTAGTCCACACTCTACCAACAGTGCTACGAGTACGAGTTGTGATACTACGGCAGCTACTACTACTGCGGCGACTACGGCTACTACTACTACTACTACTACTACTACTACTACTACTACTAGTAGTACAGCTACCACGACTGCCACGATTACTACTACTACTACTACTACTGCTACTACTAATACTGCTACTACTATTACGGATACTACACCTACAACTACAAGTATACTACTACTACTACTACTACTACTACTACTACTACGACTACGACTACGACTACTACTACGGCTACTGCTGCGACGGCTACTGTTACTACGGCTACGACGGCTACTACTACTACTACTACTACTACTACGACTAATACTACGTCTACTACTACTACTACTACGACTACTACCCCTACTACTACTACTACTACTACTACTACTACTACCACGACGACGGATGCTGCGACTGCTGTTGCCCAGACGGCTACTCTTGTTCATGGCACTGAACGTAGCACTCGGCGCCATCGGCAATATAATACAGGTGCGACTGCTAAAACGTTTGCAACTGCTTATACGCACTGTGAACGTCGACTCGTTGCAATACTCACACTACACGAACGCTGCTATGAGTACTACGACTACTACTACTACTACTACTATTACTACTACTACTACTACTACTACTACTACGTCTACGACTACGACTACTACTACTACTACTACTACGACTACTACTACTACTACTACTACTACTACTACTACTACTACTGATACTACTACTACTACTACTACTACTACTACTACTACTACTACTACTACTACTACTACTACTACTACTACTACTACGACTACTACAACTACTGCTACTACTACTACTACTACTACTACTACTACTACTACTACTACTACTACTACTACTCTACTACCTCTACTACTACTACTACTACTACTACTACTACTACTACTACTACAAGTACTAGTACTACTAGTACTACTACTACGACTACTACTACTACTTCTACTACTACTTCTACTACTACTACTACTACTACTACTACGTCTACATCTAGTATTACTACTACTACGACTACGACTACCACTATGACAAATACGACTAGTAGCAGTAGTACCACTACTACTACTACTACTACTACTTTTACGACGCCGACTACTACTACTACGACTACTACGACTACTACTACTACTACTACTACTACGACTACGACTACGACTACGACTACTACTACTACTACTACTACTACTACTACTACTTCTACTACTACTACTACTACTACTACTACTGAAAACTGTTGCTGAAAAGCGAGTCATGGTAACAGGAAGATTCGTACTGTTGCTACTGCGAGTGCGAATGCACATATTAACCGTAGTACTCGCACTCACAATGTTGATTAAACAGGACGCCGCGGGCCATCACGGGAAGCCCAGGTAGACCAGGGAGCCCGACCGATTCCAGAAGCCATGATCTCCATACCCGGCCTCTTGAAAGAATCCTGTGCGACCCGTGCACGCGAGCTGCTCAGGGTAAACATGTACTGGTGTCTGGATGTCTGCTTGCGAGGGCATTTTCATCATCCTCATCAGCAGGACCGCTCTCGATATTGTCATTATTGCCATCGTCATCAGCACCATGGTCGGAAACATAGTCATCGCTGTCATCGTTGAAGTTGTTGCCTTCGCCAAAACTCTGAGCGCAAACACTTCCTCATCAACATCCTAATAATGAAGATGACCATCATCGTCGTCGCCGTCGTCACCTTCATCATTATCATCATCAGCACCAACAACACCAGCATTAACAGCACCATCGTCAGCATCATCCTCATCATCAATACCATCACCATCATCAGCATCCGAATCATCACCACCATCATCATCGTCATCAATTTCATTGCCAATCATTCACGTCACTATCATCTCCATCACCGTCACCACCGTTGCCATCGACACCGCGTCGTTCATCTACACTGTCATCGCCATCATCATCCACGTTGTCACCACTGCAATCGCCATCGTCGCTGGTCATCAGCGCCGCCACCATTTGGCGACCTGGAGGGCGGACTCGTGTGCGGGGTCGAGTTCCACGCGCCCGTGCGCTCTCTGATACCATGACCGAGTTAGGTGTGTCAACAAGTTGCGGGTGGGTGGGTGGGATGTTGCACAAGCATAAAAGGTGACTACGCGCGGATTTTGCGCGGCGGGTGGGTTGCACCTCATGGTTTGCACCACGTAGCGTTGGCCACATAGATGTCATCACACAGCGTACACCATACAAGTTATACTACTTAGCTTGTACCGCATAGCTTCCGCACAGCTGAACCACACAAGTTGGACCGCATACATGGCACCACATAGCGTGCAACAAATAGCGTACGGACGGTCGGTTGCATCAAATAACCTTCACCCCATGCTTGCACCACATAGCTTGCACAACAAAGCCCGCTCCGCACAATCGACTCCACATAGCTCTCACCACATGCATTGCAGCCCAACGCGCGTACACCACCGACATTGTGCCACACACCTTGCACTTCACTGCTCTCGGGTCACGCTGGCCAACCTTCTTCTTCGATGTTGCGCCAATCGACATCTACCTCGTCGTCGGGCTCGCCACTCTCTTCTTACTCTTCACCCCTGACCCTACCCAAATGCTTCTTAAAATGGTCCGTCATATTCATCAGACTCTTCCCTATTCATAAGAGTAGGATCACACCGGAGAAAAACCCCAATCATTGGATGGTTTGAGATGGGATCGATAAAGAGATCGAGAAAGACATCGACCGGGACCCCGGGACCCCGGGAACCCAGAACTCACCGAAATCGGCCCGGAACCAATCGCCAGGTAACCGGGAAGCCGGAACCCGGAACCGGGAACCCAGCGTGCGACCAAAATCGGCGGGACACTTTCGCCAAATCTTTCAACTTCCACGAGGACCCCTTCGGTGCAAGCACTGATTGGGGAATGACAGAGAATGGGACTGCAGATGCTAAGACAGCAGCAGCAACGCGCTGCACTCAGTTGTGTGGGGTGCACGCCGCCCCCCTGCGCTGGAAGACCCCCGCTGCCAGGCTGGCCGATGGCGTCACACGCCCCCCCCCCCCGCGACTTAGATCCACCATCCGCCCAACCCAACAACGATCAACTTAAAGGGGCCCAGGGACACACAAATACATACATACAAAAATCCGAGGATTCCCCCCCCACACTTCCCACATTTTCGTCTCCCCTCCCACTTCCAACATTTTCCCATACTTTCCTGGGAATCGACGATTGTCGGCGACTACAGTGGGTGCGGTTTGCGAAGGGTGCGGTTTGCCTTCTGTCATATCTGCCCCTCCCGCCTGCGGGAAATGGATAACACTGTCACTCAATGCGACCGGATCACATGACACTGTCGATCCGTCTCATACAGTAGAGCACACATCGAGGATGTCAGTGTCGCTCGAAACGACGACAATTATGACATTGTCTCTCACAAAGCAACTCGCAAACCGCACCCTGGCGTAACCGCACACATTGTAGTCGCCGAGATTAATTGTGTCTGTGCGTCTTTTCCCCTCCCGACCAATCTGAACTACCGGCCGCTGTACACCCCCCCCCAGCGCGGGCATCGGTCATGAGACCACCAACACCGGAGAGCAGGAACCCCTTTTCATCGCAGAGTAGAAGCGTGATGAGTATCGTTCGTTCATCCGATCCCCATCCGCAGCGGCGTGGCCTGGGCCCCACTGGCCGATTTCCCCTCCCCTCTGGATGGGGATATAGGTCAATCCCTTCGGGTTTCGAGGGGGCTATCCCCAACTGGGGTGGTAACTTGGTGGGGGTCTCGAAGGGGATGGGGATGGGGGTGGGGATCGGTTGAACGATACCGACGTGAGGCAGCATGCTCAATCCATTGGCAGTGGGAACTTTCGCCCGCCGCCCATCGGAGAGCACACCCAGCCGCCCCTCGCGGCCAGAGCAAGCCCGCTCTTGCTCGGAGCCCGAATTTCTGTAGGACGCACGCCCGACCTTGTCGTCAGCTGACGGGCCAGCAAGAGACGGCGGGGAGAGGACGGGAAGAAGGGGATGTCCCCCCTCGCCGCCCCTCTCCCCTCTCCCCCCCCACCCCTCCCCCACCCCATCACCACCTCCCCTTGCTCCCTTGCGCGTCTCTGCCCTCCCCCCTCCCCTCGGGCACCTCCCTGTCCCGCCCTGCCTCCGCCCTGGCCGCGGAGATCACCTCCCCCAGCACGGTCTCGCCCCACGGCAGGACCTCGCCCCGACGCGGCCCTGGTCTCTGACACCACTCGGGAGGCTCCACCTTGAGCGATCTCCACTCCTCGGGAGCCCCCCAGAGGCCGTTCTTGTGAGTGGAGGAGGAGGAGGGGGAGGAGGGGGAGAGGGACGGGGGGGAGGAGGAGGAGGAGGAGGAGGAGGAGGAGGAGGAGGAGGAGGAGGAGGAGGAGGCTGTCGCCCACATCTTCCGCACGGATTTCGCGCTGCGGGTCGCTCCTCTGCGCCCGAGGAGGCCCGGCAGCGAGCCGCCGGAGGGGCGAGGCGGCGCGGACCTGCCGTGGGCGGAGGAAGAGGGCCGCGGGAGTCCATCGCGCACCGCCTCGGTCGCAGCCCTTTGGCGCAGGCCTTAGTTTCAGCCGTCAATCATCGGGGATGGACAGACCCCCCTTTAGTAAAACGTGGTTTAGTGAAAACGACGTGAGGCCCAAACCTGGCGGGCGCAAGCCTGGAAAATAACGGCCACGGCGCCATCTCGAGAACCGAAAACGGACAATTCACTAATCGACGTGTCACTGTTGGGGGTTCTGTCCACCCCCGAAATAAGCACAAACTTCGGACGAACTCGCGCCAAGCGACATTGATGCCCCGCGTGCGCTGAGGGCACTGCGAGCTTGGGCTGTAGGCTCAGCGCTGCGGTTCCCTAGCCTGTATCACTGAGCATGTGGTTACCCACATGCCTAATTACGGATCGCCGCCAGACGCTGCGCACGGCGAACGTCACCATGCAGATCGACTCATGACTGCGGCAGGCGAGGAGAGGTCAATCTAGTTGAACGTTGACGTGAACATGGGCGTATGTACATGGCCACCCCCCTCATCATGCACACGTCTTATGGTTATCCTATTCCTGCTCCTAAATATTGAGCGTCTTCCAGCTCTGACTAAGGTTAGGGATCGAACCCCTTCTTGTGAAAAACTCGTCCTCATGGTCTTGCGAAGGCGGGGTGTCGCCAGATTGGCATTGGGCGGAAAGGGGGGAGGGGGAGGGGTCTGACTCCAGGCCAGTGCTTGATGCGACTGTTTGCAACAGTGCGTCCTGTGGGGGAAACTCCGCCTGCTCGAAACAGGCGCCAAAAACGGCTAAGATCTACTCCATGGGGGGGGAAAGGGGGGGCGAGGGCCCGCGATGATCGGCAAAATAATGAGTAAGGACACGATCACGTACAGTCAATTAGTTCGGTCCTTTGAGCATGTGTTTGTTGCTTGACGCTTTTTTTCTGGTCTGTAATGCTGGCTGGAGTGGGACTTGCGATAAGAGCTGCATCTGGAGGAGTATGATGTGTACCACAAGCTGAGGCAGGAGCTGTAGCAGGCGATGCAATAAAGTTTGTGCGATTGGCTGTAGTAGGAACTGCGGTAGGCGCTGTGATAAGATCCTTAAAAGGAAGTGTTGTACGAGTTTTTGTAGGAGGTCTAGTGAGCGCTGTAGAAGGAGAGGCTGTAAGAGTTGTCGTGCGAGCTGTAGTGGGAGCTTCTTCAGGCTGCAGCAGGAATTGGACTGCAGTGGGAATTGTCGTGGAATGTGAATGTGTAAGGAAGAGGTGGGAGAAGCTGTGATGGGAACAGAATTAATGATATATGACCTGCAGTGGGAGCTGCGGGAGGTGTACTGCTGCTGTAACATCCACGGCTCCGGCGCGTATGTGGTTCGTGCTTTCATCCTCCACCAAGGCAAAAGTGGGTACATCGCGCTGCCGCCAGTGACAAAGGCCGACGACCTGCGCCTGGCGCAGCCCTTCTCGGCAGCTCTGTTCAAGCATCTGCCACAGCCTTGGCCGACGCTCCTGCGAGATGTGCTGCGAGGCACAGGTGTCCCAGGAAGGGATGCACGAGAAAGCCAAGAAGGCCGACGTCCGAGCGACTCAGCCCAAAGATGATGAAACACGTGCTGCGGACGTGCCACGCGCGCGAGTGCGACACCGAGGGTGGCCCAACACGACCAAGCAGGGCCCCACGATGACCCCCAACAGGGGCCCCACGATTCCCGAACTGTGCATGTTTGGTAGGTTTACATCGATTGAAGTGTTCTCGCCTTCTCGGGCGTCCGACCGCCTAAGGCGGCCCAAGAGGGCCCCGAGATATCATCAAAATCCCAACCAGCACCCGCGAGGGTCCCAAGACAGCCAAAAGAGGGACTCAAGGCAGCCAGAGAGGCCCCAAGAGGATCCGAACAGGGCCCCAATAGTGGCGCTTCTTCGTCGCGCCAAGTAAGCCCCGAGAGGACCCAAGAGGGATTCAAGATGCACGATGTGGTCTCAAGACGGCCCCCAAGAGGCCACCATGACTCCCCTCTGATCGCTATCAAACACGTGGTGCCGCTTGGGTATCCTTGCATCCAAGAGGGAGGCATCCGAAGAGGCTCCCAAGAGGCATCCCAAGACACCACCGACAGGCATCCACCGATGCAACCAACCTGGTAGCTTTCAAAGAAACCTTTGACCCACAACCCAGGCCATTGCAGGTGTTGGGCCGGGCGCCTCTGCAAGCATATGTATACGCCTGAGGCATGCCGCACGGAGATAGCTCGCATGTGGTTTGCACCTCTTTTGCGGATGACATGCGTATGTCCAGCCCCCCCTCTCAGATGAGGGTCTCGAGCGTGGCTTGTCGACCACGAAGCTCGACAGCTCCATGTCTTCTTCTACTCCACATGTATGCTGGAATGTTCAACAATTCGATGCGAATTCGAAACTACACCCTCTGGACGCGCAACCTCTACGTCCGTCTCAAAGTCTGCACCCACCTGTTGCTCGCCATCCCGGCCCAGTCTCTTGGCACCTGCGCGCCGCCTTTCAAATAAAGAGCCTTTTGGGCCGCTGACCCGAAGTGTGGAACCACATCAGACGAGGAGGGCGAAGCGGAACCCCCTCAACTAAGAAATGACAAACGACGAGATGTGGCATCCGTCACAACTTAGGGTGCCCAAACCAACGCGTATGGCACTCTAAAGCACCAGCGTGCCTCCCTTGGCTCTGCCAAACAAACTGCTCTCAGCAGCCACTCACAGAACCTGCGCTGGAACACCTGCGAGAACGGCAAGAACACGACGCCTGGCATGCCGCTGACGGCAGCGGCCAGGATGTCTGCCTCCGCGAAGATGTCAGACCACCCGCCCTCGCAGTGAGGCCCGGCCAAAACAGCGTCGGGAATGCCCGTCGAATTGGTGTGCAAGCATAGTTTTCCTTCCAGCCCCCGACGGTAGGGAGAGGAGAGAGGTTTGGAAGGGAACAACGGTACGGCGGGTTCGTGCGGCGTCGGCGCGCGCAAAAGTTTTAAACACCGTGTCGATCGTTCAACTTTGAATCGATCGCGGCTCCGATCGTTCAAGGTTGAATTCAGTCGGGTCCAGTGGCTTCAGCGCGTCCCTCCGTGCTCCCGCGTCGCAGAATTCAACCTTGAACGCCGTCGCCGGCGTCGTCGGTGCGCCAACGCCGCATGAACCGACCATAGAGAATGTAGGAAGAGAAGGAGGAGGGAGGACAGAGGAGAGATGGAAGGAGGTGAATAGGGAGGAGGACAGGGCGGTGGGGAAAGGCAGACATGCCCCTCCAAAGACGGCAAGACGGTGAGCGAGCGAAAGGGGGAGTTGCAGGGGCCCAGAGTGAATATTGCGCTCCCCCTAAGCAGCAAGAACATGGACAAAATCATGACACACACACACACACATCAAGCCTTGGAGTACATCACAAATCGTCAACCATGGCTGGATATGGGGAATCGCGGGCACGTGCAAAGACCTTACGGGCAACGCTGGTTTACCCATATTGCCTCGCACCGCTAGATACCAGTATGCAGATTGATGCATCTGTCGGTCCACGGGCGGCTGCACTCTTACCCGATTCGCGTTCACACGGTCTGTATGCTGTAGACCGAGCGCCACAGCATTACAGTTACAGATCGTCAGTCCACCTTTGTCTCTGGTAGATTTCCACGCAGTCTGTTCCGCCGACCCCTTGTTCATTACTTACGATATGGGGTTGGCCTTCCGACATACTTTGCAGCATCGCCCACCGTTTTGTTGAGGCGCGCTCGAGCTCCTGTTCTCTGTCTGGTGTGTGTGTGAGTGTTTCTGTAGTTTCCCTGGGCCACTACGCTGTCTTCCCTTGCGCTCCTCCTGCCCCTCAAGACGGGCCCAAGGCGGCCCAGGGGGCGAAACGCCGTGCTTCAGGGCAATCGGCTGGGCAACGACATCCTGAAACATGAAACACTTGACCGACACATCGCCTCATGACACAACGCATCTTCGGCAACTGGTTGCTGCACCCATTCGTCCGTGGCGCGCAGAGCTTCGGCCACCGTCGCGAGAGATGCGTGCAGCCAAGGGCGGCAGACTGCCCGCTTGGTTTCCACACCCTCGCATCCTGCTGCACGGGAGCGCTGGCGTCGCACAACACCAGCCACTTCTGTCGCTGCTTCGAAGATGGGGCCTGGCCCCAAGACCAGGAACACGGCTCCCAAGCTCCACGTGCGCTGTTTGAGGCCGCTCGCCCTTCGGTCCCTCAAGGCCGCACCTTTAAACAGCCAGATGCTGCACCCGTGCCAGGTGTCCGCCATGGCGGGGGCGTTCCCGCTCGTTCCCGCTCAGGCGGTGTCGAAGCAGCCCACGGGTCTGGCGCGGCTGGGGCACGCTGGCGTGAGAAACCCAGGCGCACTCCCGGCGGGCGCGCAAGAAGGGAGTGCTGACCCACGCGCAGCACTGGCGCGATGCGCTGGGCGTCTCCCAGGGGGCGTCTAACCCGCCATGTTTAGGTCGGGCTTCTCCTCCTATTGGCGGATTTGGGGTGCAAAATTTTCAAAAAATTGCAAACAATGCTCATACATGGCCATATATATATAACAATCGTCCCCAGACATTGTTTTTTCTTCCCCCGACCTAGGCTCTGCCTAGAAGGGTTCTTACTCGCTAAGCTCAAAGGGCCGGGCAGTGCAAAACGCCCCGAGCGGTTCCCCCGGCATCCGCCCCGCGGTTCCCCCAGTGACGCTCCCTTAGCTCAGCGTTGCTTCTTCCCTGCCTAGGCTCTGCCTAGAGGGTTCGTAGTTTGTTTGCTTAAAGGGGCCGGGCAGTGTAGGCCGCCCCGGGCGGTTCCCCCAGTCCCCGCCCCGCGGTTCCCCAGCTACGTCCCCTTAGCTTCGCGTTGCTTATCTCATCTTAACTTAGCCTAGCTTAACTTAGCTTAGCTTAGCTTAGCTTAGCCTAGCCTTGCTTAGCTTAGGTTAGCTTAGTTTAGCTGAGCTTAGCCTAGCCTAGCCTAGCTTAGCTTAGCTCAGCACCGCTTAGCTTAACGCCGAAAAAGCATAGCACAGCATATCATAGCATAGCATAGCGCCGCATAACATAACGCAGCACAACATGGCATATCATAGCATAGCGCCACATAGCATAGCATATCATACCATGGCATATCATACCATAGCTTAGCATATCACAGCGCAGCATAACATGCCACATCATATCATAGCATAGCCTATCATAGCGCAACGGAGCAAATCATACCATATCATAGCGCAGCATACCATAACATGGCACATCATATTGCAGCATAGCATATCATATCATAGCACATCATACCATTTCACAGCATAGCCTAGCATATCATAGCGCATCACAACATAGCAAAGCACAGCATAGCGCAGCATATCATAGCATAGCATAACCTCATATGTAGATGTAGATGTAGGTGTATATGTAACCGTAGATGTGAGTCTCGCTGTTGGTGTTGATGTAGATGCAGGTGCAGGTGTATATGTAAATGTAACTGTCGGTGTGGATGTAGATGCTGCTTTCCTAAATGCTCCAACTCCTAGGTCGGGTCGCAAAGGGATAATTGATTCTTTTGTGAATATCCCTCCTGTAGGGGGACAGGCCCGATTTAATGCCAGGTCCAAGAGGCACGCAAGTGCGGGGCTGTGGCCGCCCTGCTCCGCGAGGGCTGGAGCGTGACGCAACGGCGAGGTCCTTACTGGGCGGCGGCGTTTCGCGGTGCGGCCTGTCTCCATCTACAACTACTCAATCTGAATACAGTGGAGGCCAGTCCACAAGAGATCTCCCACAAGAAATTCAAACCCGAGATCCCAGGATGTTCACTGATTTTCGGTGCGGGAACGTCACGCTTTCCGCAGCAAAGCGTCGGAACAGATCAAGCCCGAGTGTGGTAGGATTTCTCCCACATATTTGGTTATTAAGGTAAGACTTCGAAGCGTGGTGTGAGTTTCGTTCTTCCAAGGTTATTCCCTACCTAAGCTCTGCCTAGAAGGTTCTTACCCTGTATCTTAAAAGGGGCCGGGCAGTGCTACCCGCCCGGGCGGTTCCCCCGGCATCCGCCCCGCGGTTCCCCCGTTTGCGTCCCCTTAGCTTAGCGTTGCTTATCTCATCTTAGCTTAGCTTATTTCATCTTAGCTTAGCTTAGCTTCATCTTAGCTCAGGTTTATCTTAGCTTAGCTTACCTTCATGCCCTACCTAGGCTCTGCCTAGAAGGGTTCTTACTCTCTGTGCCTAAAGGGGCTGGGCACTGCTACACGCCCTGGGCGGTTCCCCTGGCTTCCGCCCCGCGGTTCCCCCAGTTGCGTCCCCTTAGCTTAGCGTTGCTTATCTCATCTTAGCTTAGCTCATTTCATCTTAGCGTAACTTGGCTTCATCTTAGCTCAGGTTTATCTTAGCTTAGCTAACCTTCATCTTGGATTCGCCGACATTAGCATCGCAGAGCACAGCATAGCATAGCATAGCGTAGCATGGCATAGCACAGCATAGCAGAGCATAGCCCAACATAGCATAGCATAGCGCAGCATAGCATAGCATAGCATAGCGCAGCACAAAACAGCACAGCACAGCGCAGCATAGCATGGCATAGCATAGTATAGCAAAGCTTAACAGAGCATAGCATAGCGCAGCATAGCATAGCATAGCATAGCGCAGCATGTCATAACACATCATGGCATAGCGCGGCTTAGCATAGCACAGCATCTCAAAACTCAGCATAGCTCAGCGCAGCATGACATAGCACAGTTTAGCATAGCATCGCATATCATACCATATCATAGCATAGCATAGCGCAGCATAGCATAGCATAGCATAGCATAGCGCAGCATAGCATGGCATAGCATAGCATAGCAACTAATGCTGCTGTCCTAGGGGTTCCAGCTTCTAGGTAGGGTCGCACTGAGGTAATTAAGGTAAGACTTCGAAGCGTGGTGTGAGTCTCGTTCTTCCAATCGGAGCGTTTCTGATGTTTGAACATGGTGTTCCTACTGCAGTGTTGGCTTCGATTTAGGGTCCACGCTTTGCCCTCGTCTTTCAAAACGGTGTTCTCGCACCACAGCGAGTCACAATTCCGGATCCGAGTCCTTCATCATCGTTGTCGCCTCGCTCCTTTCCCCTCCTCCGCCTTCCACTGGTGCTCCCGCTCATCCTACTCCTGTTCCTGCAGCTGCTGTTCCTCCTCGTCCTCCCCTATCCTGGTATTCCTGTTCTTTCTCCTGCTCGTCCTCCTGCTCATCCGCCACCTCCTCATGCTGCTCCAATGTGCACAGCTCCCCTTCTCTTTCCCACTGCGCACAACACGGTGAGGTCCTTTTGAGGGCTCCAGGTCCGCGACGGCAGTCGTCGGCGGATCGAGAGCAATCGGCGCAGCAGGGATGGACTGGTGGGAAGGGCGGAGATGTCAGTCAGATATAGTGCGAGCGCACCTGGCCTGCCCTCCTCCTCCCCCTCCTCCTCCTCCTTCTCCTCCTCCTCCTCCTCCTCCCCCTCCTCCTCCTCCTTCTCCTCCTCCTCCTTCTCCTCCTCCTCCTCCTTCCTCCTCCTCATCCTCCTCCTCTTCCTCCTCCTCCTCCTCCTCCTCCACCTCTCCCATTCCAGACGTCGTCTCTCGGCGGCAAGCATACATTCGCTGGCCTCGCGCCGAGATCTGCCCGCCGCTTGCTGCCTCTGCCGGGCCTCGCGCTCCCTGCTGGCGTGGCCGTGTCCTGCTCGTGCCCGCCGACGTGGGCACGAGCCTCTGCGCACCCATGCCTGCACCGCCAGAGCAAACTGGCCCCCATGCATTTTGACGTTGCTCGGACTTCAAGCGCGGGGCTCGCAGCGTCCTGAAATGGTGCAACAAAAACCGACCTAACGCAGTGGTGTGAGCAAATTAGGCGACAGGCCCGTGCGGATCAGGAACTAAAAGGAGTACAAGCAACGCCCTCAGGCACTCGTGGCCCTTCCCTCCTTGCGGGCGAGTTCCGGCGGGGCGTTCCAGAGCGCCCACGCGGTGAGCTCCGCGGGAGCGGGGTGTGCAGGGCAATGTCTTGTGGGCTGGGGACCTGGGGCAACCAACGCCAACATCGACACCATACGCGCCTGCTTGCCGGCCGCTTCCGTGCTATCACGCGCGACTGCGCGAACACCAGACAGTTGATCACTGCGGCGCCAGAAATCTGCGGAGCCCTCGCATCCGAACGTGCACCGCGTGCCGCTGAATGCACGGTGGGAAAAAGGCAACATGTGCCAATGAAACCTGCCTTGGTCATGAGGTGGAGGCCAAACCACCAGCGAGATCGTACGACGTATTTGCCCCGCAACCAGCCTGAGCCAAAAGGCACTGGCGAAATAAGAGATTGAACAGAAGGAGGATCAATGGAGAGGATGAGATGGAGTACGGGGAGGCGGGAGGGCAAATCTGCAATGACAGCAACATGGCACATCCATAGTCTGAGCCCCGTGCTGAACTCATTGTTTTCTGCCCGCGCTTTTCTGTCTCGCTCCCTCGCGGAAGCAAGCAACAGAGCTCTCCCCCTGCCCCCAGCCCCTCCCCCCCCTCCACCCCCCCACCCCACACACACACAAACACACGCACACATACACACACACGCACACACGCACGCACGCACGCACACACACACACACACACACACACGCACACACACACACACGCACACATGCACACACTCACACTCGCACTCGCACTCGCACTTGCAATCGCAATCGCACTCGCACGCACAGCACACACAGACACACACACACACACGCACACAAACACACACACACGCACACATACACACACTCACACTCGCACTCGCACTCGCACTCGCAATCGCACTCGCACTCGCACGCACAGCACAGCACAGCAGAACACAACGCAACACAACACAGCACAACACAACATACTATACAACACACTGTACTATACCACAAGACAACGCAAACCACCACAACAAAACACAACATCACACAACACATCCCAACACAGCACACCACACCACACCACAACGCAACACGACACAACACAACACAAAACCACACAACACAACACGACACAACACACCACACATCACAACACAACACAACACAGCACAGCACAGCACAACACAGCCCAAGACATCACAGCACAACACAGCACAGCACAGCACCGCACAGCACCGCACAGCACAACACAACACAACACAACACAACACCGCACAGCACTGCACTGCACAACACAACGCAACGCAACGCAGCACAACACAGCACAGCACAGCAAAGCTCCGCACAGCACATTACGGCACAGCACAGCACAGCACAACACAACAGAGCAGCACAATCCACCACACGACACAACACAACACGACACAACACAGCACAGCACGACACAACACAACACTACACATTATAACTCCACACCACATTACTTCGTACCACACCACACCACAACACAGCACCACATCACACCACACCACATCACAGACAGCACAGCACAGCACAGCACAACACAACACACCACACCACAACACAACACACACCTGCATACATTCGTAGCACCCAACCAACCAACGGCTCGAAATCCGGCTGCATGTTGGCTCTTTGGGAGCCGGTTTCGGGCCCGAGAACCGTCAAACAACGTCTCAGCCTGTCCCTGGGGAAGTGGTCGAGATACGCAGGGAGTCATGTCTTGAAACATTGGGGCCGCCAGGTGCCTGGGTACACCTCCCCTTTCCCCCCGTCTCTCCCTCCTCCTCCTCGACATGGGGGGGAGGACCAGGGGAAGTCAGGGGATGCAGAGGAGTGGAAGGGTGAGGGAGGAGCAGAGGGAGCAGAGGGAGTCGAGGAGCAGCGACGACCCTGCACAACAGTCCCCGTCGTGCGGTCGCACACCTCTCAGCTGACGACGCGGGACTTCTGCCCAGCATCGTCGGCGGCAAACTGCGCAGGAGGGGGCGATTTCATGACAGAGCTGCCCGGGACGGACGAGCGAGCGGGGGCATCGCAAGTGGGGGGGGGTCCAAATCAGCTCGCGTAGCTGGTTCTTCCCTGGCGCCTCCAGGCGGCCACGCGTCCAGGAGAGCACCCGGCGGCGGGGCCGCCACAGCGGCACGCAGCAGACACCGCGGCCCTCCCCGTCCACGTCGCCCCCCCCCGCCTCGCCCGCCCCGCGATGAGGCCTGTACGGCGCCTGCACTCTCCGATCCCCCGCGGCCGGCCCTCTCCCACACTTCAGAAAAAAAACTTCTCAGCTCCGCAGGCCAGCTCGAGCTCTGGCGCTGCGTCGGTGAGGCCCCGGCAGGGAAAAGCCGCAACAAACGCCTGCAAATGCGCTGGGCTCTCGTGCCAGAGGTCGCGCCCGCGAATCGAGCCTGCGGCGCACGCTCGTACCCCGATGGATGCGCTCCACGCCCCACGCTGGCCGCTCCTCCGATGCAAAATCATGCGGCCACCGAGCCCAGCGCCGGACCAGCATGCCCGACAAGGCCCGAGCACATCCTGGAGCTCTCACCTCTCGCTAGCCTCCCTCCGCAGATCTTCCCAGGCCTCTCGCGTCGGCTCCATCGTGAAGTCTTGTCTCTCAGGGCCCACCGCCCTCCCCATCGCACCTCCCCTTCTCCCCCCTGCCACCCCCACTCTCCCTCCGCCTTCGCTCTCCCCTGGGGGAGGAGACGGAGGGGACAGTGGAGGGAGGCCCCTCCCTCCCTCACATCCTCCCCCCCCTCCTTCTCCACCCTCCAGTGCTGATGCCGCTGCTACGCGGACTCCCCCCAGGGTGCGTTCTGGCCAGGATCTCGGGCGAACTCGGAGGTAGCGCAAAGAACCCCCTCCCCTCCTCCATCCTCATCCTGCCTCCTTGCACAAGGTAATACGAATTGCCTCCCGAATAGGTTCCGAATGGATGGGGCCGGAGGGTCGCGCCGAATCGCCGATGCATCGGCAAAGCATCGGCGATGCGTCGGTGACGCTGTCGATGCATCGGCGCCATCAGCGTGGAGAAACTGGGGCCCCACACCAAGCAGCATCGCCGATGCATCGGCGATGCGGCGCGGTCCTCCGACCCCATCTGCTCTGACCCCATCTGAGAGGAGAACAGTTATCGTGTTTGGAGGAAGGAGTTGGGAGGACGAAGGGCACGAGCAATATCATCTGGATGCAGTGAACGATACCTTCGGCTGCTTACGGGAAAGGATCTCCTTCTTTCTCCCAGCCCCATCCTTCCAACCCGATTTCCTTCGGCGGCGAGCGGGGGGAAGTGAGAAGGAGAAGGCCTTCTCAGAAGGCTCGGAAGTCCCCTGGCCTTGTGAGGCCTTGTGAAGTGTATCCTAAGCCTTCCCCGCAGACGCAGGCACCTTCTTAGAAGGCGTGAGGTCTTCTGGAAAGTCCCGCCGCTCGCCGCCGACTCCTGACATCTGCTCCGACCCCCTCCCGGGAGGCCCAGAACCCAGAACTGCTCGCCGACGCCCGGCTCTCCCTCTCACAAAGCCGACGGGGGGGCTAACTACCTGCCAGACCACCCCAACCCAACCCGAAGACCCGAATTTCGGGTTGGGGGCGCACGGGTCCCATCTGTATTTCCCAACCCTCCTGCGTTGGGTACTCGTTTTGAATAGAGCACTGCGGTCTCCACCTTCCTTCCCGCCCCCTCCCGCCATCCCTGGGGGGCTGCGATATGTGAAACTGTTGCCACTTTCGAGGACTGCTGGGGTGGCCAGCGGAGTGACGCCCTACGGGGACTCAGATTAGACCTCGCCATCCCTGGGGGGCGGCGATCTGCGAGACTGTCGTCACTTTCGAGGGCTGCTGGGGTGGCCAGCGGAGTGACGCCCCACGGGGACTCAGATTAGACCTCGCCATCCCTGGGGGGCTGCGATCTGTGAAACTGTTGCCACTTTCGAGGCTGCTGGGGTGGCCAGCGGAGTGACGCCCTACGGGGACTCAGATTAGACCTCGCCATCCCTGGGGGGCTGCGATCTGCGAAACTGTCGCCACTTTCGAGGACTGCTGGGGTGGCCAGCGGAGTGACGCCCCACGGGGACTCAGATTAGACCTCGCCATCTCTGGGGGGCTGCGATCTGTGAAACTGTCGCCACTTTCGACGGCTGCTGGGGTGCCAGCGGAGTGACGCCCTACGGGGATCAGATTAGACCTCGCCATCCCTGGGGGGCTGCGATCTGTGAAACTGTCGCCACTTTCGAGGCCTGCTGGGGGGCCCAGCGGAGTGACGCCCTACGGGGATTCAGATTAGACCTCGCCATCCCTGGGGGGCTGCGATCTGTGAAACTGTCGCCACTTTCGAGGGCTGCTGGGGGGCCCAGCGGAGTGACGCCCTACGGGGATTCAGATTAGACCTCGCCATCCCTGGGGGGCTGCGATCTGTGAAACTGTCGCCACTTTCGAGGCTGCTGGGGGGCCCAGCGGAGTGACGCCCTACGGGGATTCAGATTAGACCTCGCCATCCCTGGGGGGCTGCGATCTGTGAAACTGTCGCCATTTCGAGGGCTGCTGGGGTGCCCAGCGGAGTGACGCCCTACGGGGGCTCAGATTAGACCTCGCCATCCCTGGGGGGCTGCGATCTGTGAAACTGTCGCCACTTTCGAGGGCTGCTGGGGGGCCCAGCGGAGTGACGCCCTACGGGGATTCAGATTAGACCTCGCCATTCCTGGGGGGCTGCGATCTGTGAAACTGTCGCCACTTTCGAGGGCTGCTGGGGGGCCCAGCGGAGTGACGCCCTACGGGGATTCAGATTAGACCTCGCCATCCCTGGGGGGCTGCGATCTGTGAAACTGTCGCCACTTTCGAAGGCTGCGTGGGGGGCCCAGCGGAGTGACGCCCTACGGGGATTCAGATTAGACCTCGCCATCCCTGGGGGGCTGCGATCTGTGAAACTGTCGCCACTTTCGAAGGCTGCTGGGGGGCCAGCGGAGTGACGTCCTACGGGGACTCAGATTAGACCTCGCCAGCGCTGGGGGGCTACGATCTGTGAAACTGTCGCCACTTTCGAAGGCTGCTGTGGGGCCCATGAAACTGTCGCCACTTTCGAGACCTGCTGCGGGGTCCAGCATAGTGACGTCCTACGCGGACGCAGATTGGACCTGTCATTCTACTTCGATTATCCCGCTTCTGCGATCGACTGTATGTGTGCGAGGAACTAGACATGGAGTGGTCTGGCACTGACTGACGTCAAATCGTTGTGTGCCAGTGTCTCCTGGGGTGTTGCCTTTCGCCCCCCCCGCCCTCGATTCCATCCCTCTCCTACCCCTCGTTCCCGTACCCGTTCTTCTTCGATCCTGGGGCCTCAATCCTCGTTCTTTCGATCGTCGTCCTGTGAATCGTGCAACGCATGCGCATCCCATGTAGCTTGCACAGCAAATCGCCGCGTCTACACTGTCGTTGTTCCTGCTAATGTTGGCATACTCCTCTTGCCATTTGATGCACGTGGGTTGGGTACGTCGCAGGGTAATTTTTCCATGTTCCCCGACCCCCCCTCCTCCTGGAAATGGAAGGCAAATCGGGGCCTTCGGGTTGGGTTGGAGTGGTCTTCGGGAGCGGCGAAGAGGGGGATGTCCAAGAGGGGGGGGTGCAAATCATGACCGTCGGCATGTGCGCGGCCCAGCGGGGGGGCCAGGGACGTAATGAAATAAGAAAAGGCTCCATGAAATCTGGGGAAATATCATGGCCCGCGCCATGATATCCACCCCCCCTCAAGTCATCACCCCCCTCTTTGCCGCCCCCGACCCTCCCGGGAGGCCCGGAACCCCGAACTGCTCGCCGACGGGGGGGGCGGGCCCGGGGGGGCCGGCCGCCCGGGGTCCGCCCACGGGACCAGAGAGGTGAGCCCGCGTGCTCGCGCGGCGGCGCCCTGCTGCCCACCTGCCAGGCCACGCCCAACCCGAAGGCCCGAATTTCGGGTCGGGGGGGGGGGGGGACGTCGTTCATTTCTCAGCGTGCTCGTTTCCACTTGTGCCCGTTTCTAATTCTTCCTGGCGCCCCAGGAAGAGGCCCTGGATAGAACAATTAGGAATGAAAGGATCTTGCCCCCCAAAAAACAAAGAACTTTCGAATAATTAGAAATGAACCATGTGTATGGGTTTCGGCGGCGAACGGGGGAGGAAATGAGAACCTGAAGGACTTCTCGGAAGGCGGCGGGACTTGTCAGAAGCCCTCGCGCCTTGCGAGAAATTGTCTGTGCCTTCGGGGAAGGCTTAGGAAGCCTCTCACAAGGCCCGGGGACTTCCGAGCCTTCTGAGAAGGCCCCCGCCCCTTCTCACTTCCCCCCCGGGCTCGCCGCAGAGGGTTCCATCTGCTTTTTTTCCCATGTGCCCCGCCCCCCCCCCCCCCGCCCGGGAGGGCTCGCATCCCCTTACCACGCTGCCGATGCGGTTCCAGAGCCTGCATGTGGCCCACGGAAGGCCGATCGGCGCCCTGGCGCCGCCGTTGTGAAGCCATCGTCGAAGTCTAGCTGATGGAACGGGCCTCAACCTCTCGGGGGGCGAGGAAAGCAGCAAAATGGTAAGGGAAGAGTCTGTTTACCCCCCCCTGGAAATGGAGGGCAAGTCGAGGCCTCTGGGTTGGGTTGGGGCCGTTTGGTGGGTGGTGATCTTCGCAGGCCTCACGCGGCGAGCCAGTCTTCGCTGGCTCCCCTCACGCGCCACCCGGCGGCGATGGGGCAGATGCACCGCTTCAGCGCCACCTCCGATGCGGTCAGGGCCTCCTCACCCATTCTCCTTCTCCTCCTCCTCCTCCTCCTCCTCCTCCTCCTCGTCCTCCTCGTCCTCGTCCTCGTCCTTCTCCTCGTCCGCCTCAGCCTGAGCTCCTGCGCACAAGCTTCTCGCATCTGACGCTGGCATCTTGCATCCGGCAACGCGCTGGCGCAACAGTGGGGGCGCTGGCGTGCCTGCCAGTCGCCCGGTGGTGCTCCCGTAGTTTTTTTAGTGGCGACCCTTCGCCACTGGGCGTGCGCGCGCGCCAGAAAAGCGCCCAGCTTTGCTCTCGAGTCCCTTTGCGGCATCCAGACGGTTCCACGATGGCCCACGATCGCTGCAGGTCGGCGGCAAGACGTCCGAGAACCAGCCCGAGCAGTCCTGACGATGGTCCACGGAGTTTCCTAGATAGCCCTAAGAGCGCTGACGTCCCCCAAAGATGGACATTTTGG